CCAATCGTGGTGAAGAATTCGTGACATGACTAGAAAATAAAACTAGCTCAATTCACTATACCCACACCTTATACTCATACATAATTGTTCTCCCCGGATTTAGGCCATTATATATTTCACTGGATGTCAAATTATTCTATTCCAATCGGGGCCCATGGCCCCTGACCCTTTTGGACCCTGGGATCATGTCTGGTGGATCGAGACTCAGTCTGCCCCGGAAAACAATTAAGTAGTAACTGTACGTACTTGTGTATCATTAGAACAACTTGCCCTGGACCAAAACGCGTCAGAGCTAGGTACAGATTTCTGGAGAAAACGACGCGGGCTGATGTGTTGGGAGATTTTTTTATTATTTTATTGCGGATCCAACATCCGATTCATTTCCACTGATGGCTTCCAGGTAAGATTTCACGGCAGGATTAATGTTTCCATATAATATTCAGAATCAATCAATATGCCTTTGTTTTATACACTTCTTAAATTTATGAAAATGAAAAAGAAAGAAATCGGAAATTGCAACACGGGTGACTTAAAGATTTTTAGCTGTTAGCATACTCAATGCCAATACACTAGCCGTTACCACGACCCCTATTGACATGCATTCTCTCATCATTAACTTCCTTGGCCAGACTTAAAGTGTCTAAATCTTGATCATCTTCTTGTTCTAGGGGTTGTCTCAGTTTACTGTTAAGTGCTAATCCTCACTCATTGGCGAACATAATTGAATGAAACTTGGCAGCTGGCTATTGAAAGGAGTATCAGTCACTCGGTATGCTTTTTTACTCTATCCATCTACTGTCTAGTAGTGTTTAGATCTTAAGGACTTAAGTCATAATCCCTCAACCAAGTGTCATAGTACGGTATGCCACGGCTCAGAACAAAATACAATGTATTGCCCTGCGCCCCCATAAATGACCTACTTTTGGTCTGTTTCTGCCTCTGCTCCGTATGCCATTTGCAATATAGCGAAGGTTACCATATCGTCTGCAGATGTTGACAAATGTTTTTAATTAGTAACCGGAATTGACCCCCCCCCCCCCCCTCACCTTCCCTTTTTTGGGCTGGTATTCTTTAAGTTTCAATTTTCACTCACACAATATTAGTTAATCAAATATAGTTCAAAGACTTTAAATCGTTTTAATAGTGTTTATAAATGCACCTAGTTGCATATTATTGTATTACCTCCTCGTCTTCATTAGCCTAGTCCAGTATACGAGCAGAACAGCGGGACGTTAAACGAATAGAGAGCATTTACATAAAGATTTATCTCTGTTTTCACGAAAATGCCCTATAGTATGGTGGCTGTTAGCTACCATTCTACATTCTAGACTTACCAAATTAATTCATTTTTAGTCGACTTGTCGGGTTGTGAAGGCTACCAGTCGACAAGTTGACAAAATCAAACCTACAAAATAACTTCATTTTGTCGACGTGTCGGGTCAATTCTGTCGACTTCGACTTATTCACAACAAGTCGAGACTGATCGCCTTCACAAACCGACATGTCAAGTATATATAATGGCTGTTAACAGCCACCATACACTCTGATTTGGCAGCCGCATCGGTTTCTCTTTGGATTAGCATGAAATTGTGTGCGTTCAATGCTTACAAATTATAACGAACACAAAACTTCATAAATCTGAACTTCGAAACTGGGAGAAAGAATTTTATAAAAAAAAGAAAAAAAAAGAAGAAAATTGGCGATATTGTTCCAAGGGAGGCAATTCAATGCAAACCCAAATAGTCTCCTATGGACTTCCCTGCTGGTTTCTGTAACATTTCCACTAATTTTCGTTGGCCTGAACACTCTACCCACCACAGAGGGAGGAACATCTGATGATATCTTGCTCCAAAGCTTGTATGACTTTAGGGGTGTCGTAATAGTTCACTTACTCAAACTGTTCTTCACAGTCGTAACACTAGGATATTTCCCCATCCCGGGACAGTTATATACATATAAACATAAAATGCATAGACATCAAGCTTTAAATAAGTGTAATTGCCTTTTATATACCAGCTCTTTTATATACCATTTTTGTCGAACCTGTTAGGATACACAAAACAATTTCCATACTACCGAGTTGCTAATATATTACATAAAATGTTATACAGCCAGTATCATTAATTGTATAAGAACAGAAGAAGAAGAAGAGGGAGAGAGAGAGAGAGAGAGGGGGTAACGTCAGCTTGACACAAAATAGGTCATTTCGGGACTAATATATGGTTCGATTTAGTGGTCTTTAGCAGTGGGAGGAAACCATTGGACCCGGAGAAAACCCACGAGGTTGTACAGGCAATCCTACTTCTTGTCACGTACAACGCCAGCTGACTCAATGACAGACCTTATAATACAGCGCGCAGGCTCTAACCTCGAGAGAGAGAGAGAGAGAGAGAGAGAGAGATGGGGTTTAACGTCCACTCGACACAAACTAGGTCATTTCGGGACTACCATATGGTTTAATTTTATTTCAATAATTCCCTTGCACGTAGGGGTCTTTAGCAGTGGGAGGAAACCGGAGGACCTGGAGAAAACCCACGAGGTTGGACAGGTGACCCTACTCCTTTTCACGTACAACCGGGGATTCGAAACCACGCGAGTTGACTCAATGACAGGCTTTATGATACAGCGCGCACGAGCTAATCTTTCGGCCATCCAACCCCACTATTTATAAAGAAATTGTGGTTCAAGTAAAGTTTTAAGTTTTCAAACATTGTACATGTAATTGTGAAATGTGTAAGCCTCAGAAGCACATGATATAATGTACTACGTTTATATAGAATGTCCCATGGTTGAAATCCAGCCTTGATCCGAAGAATGGAGGGGGAAGGGATTTAACGCCATTGGGTGATTTCTCCGAGTCACATGGTTTCCTCCAAAGACATTCACGCGCAAGCGAATTACTAAAGTAAAATTGTACCATATCTAATATGGTAGTTAGCAAGCTAACTGTTGCCTAGTCGCGTGGATGGTACAAAAACCCGCGGTTCACACCTGTTCACGTGTCAATTCGAAGAAGAGTAGATGGAAATACGACTTGCTGTGTAGGTCATTTCGGGACTAACATGTGGTTCAATTTTATTTCAATAATTCACTTGCGTGTAGTTTAGCAGTAGGAAGAAACCGGAAGACGCAGAGAAAACCCACGTGCTTGGCCGACAGACGACCCTACTCCTTGTCACGTACAACCGGGGAATCGAAACCACGTGCGTTGACTCAATGACAGACCTTATGATACAACGCACACGCGCTAACCATTCGGTCATCGTATTTAAAATGTTTCAAAAATAAGATTGTGTGGTTCGCTCCGCTAAAATGTCTCGCCATCCCCGAGAAAATGTTGCAAATTTAACCGCCGCAAATACGTTCTTCTAAGCAACTTCAAAGTTTTCAATCGTTTTGCAATCAAAATCCCACAGGCACTTGAAGTGATTAAAATAAAACTTCTTACTACTCTTTGACTATATATTAAGAAGTTTTATTTTAATCTCTTCAAGTGCCAATCAGATTGTTTTAGCTACATTCACAATCATCGGAAATCGTTGAAAATTGATAGGCTTTTGGACTCCGGAGCGCTCATAAGATGTTTCACAGAGGAACCAATTGAAAATCAATAGGATCCATCTTCTCATGACCTTAAACACTGTGTATAAATTTATTTAAAGTCAATCGGATATTAACTTTAGCCTCTAGCTAACCGACGGACGGACCGACGACAATATACGACCACATTTCAATGTGGGCGTGTAAAAATTGAATTTTAAAATTTCTTCAATCGTGAAACATCAACTGAGCACAGGCACTGAACAAAGCAGTTGAAGTACGCAAAGTGGGAGCGGGGCGTCACAGAAATTTTTGCCCTGGGGCGCCACATAGGCTTGTGGGGGCCCTGTCTATGATTCATTCAATGATTGTACCTGTTGGTGGCAAAAGTTTATTTCGATCCAATTGATCTATAAGACACGGTCTTAACATGCCACATAAATTACACAGACCTTGCAAGCAATAAACAACAAACATATAATATATATACCATTATAGAATATGCATATTGACAACATATTTCCCTGTCGATCATTTTATGCAATACATTTTATGCCATACTTTGGGTGCTATTGACAAAAAATAACGCTCTTGTCGGTGATTGATCACGACCTATTTAATAATTGTCCAAATTCCAATCATCAATAGGCCTATTATTTTTTCAGTTCTGTATGCAACATATATACTTATTTCCAAGTCGATTACTGTTTGCAATACTTTGACAAAAAACGGTCATGTAGCCTACTTGTAGTTGTCGTCAGTTATAAATATGTCGTATAATATTTCTAAGACTTCTCAAAAATCGGTCACGAATGATACCGGTTACTAAAAAACCAGGCCCGTAGCCTACAGGAGCCCTCAGAAAAAATGTTTTGCCCCCCCCCCCCCCCTCCCCGAAAAAAACATTTGCCAACCATAGCTCTAAAATACCTACTGCAGACTGTGGCAAGTGTGCCCCCCCCCACCCCCCACCCCACACCAACCCCCCTCCCCCCCCCCCCACTTAAAACACTGTCCCAGCAAGCTAGCTACGGGCCTGCAAACCGGTATCTGTCAAATTCCAAATGTGTCTTGAACTCTCCGGTACAATTTCTGTATAGACAGAAGCCTCCGGTTCATTCCTCAACATTTATTTATGTAAGAATAATTTAGAATAATCGGTTCACCGATTTTATATAACTCCTGTCTGGAACGGGGGTCAATAGTCGAGTTAAATAGGGTTATTTCCCTTATTAGTCTGACGACACAGAAAATAAATTGGGTGAAGTAGTTCGTTCATAGTAATGAAACAAAAAATTTTCAGGGGTTTGAAAGACAAAACCAGATGAATTGCTATTTGATAATTGCAGTAAATCGCATATGGAAATAAAATAAACAGAGCATACAAACCTAAAGAGCATTTTTATGTTGCGCTCACAGCAATTGTGTCCATACGCTAACCGGAAATAGTTTCAGGATTGTCTGCCCCTTCAGAAAAGTAACCATCAAAGAAGTAATTTTGTGAAAATAACCATGAGCCGAACAGAAAAAGAACGAACCAAGGCTCTTCAAGAAAAATTCCAAGCTGTGTTATCTAGTCTTTTAAAAGATGAAGATAACAAGTATTGTGTCGATTGTGACGCTAAAGGTATGTATGTGTGAAGAAAGTGTATAACTCCCAGTCGGTCGCTAAAAACAAAATCACTCGATTGCAACAATCTTGTCTATGTGTCATTTGACTACTGTTTCCGTATCTAATAATGGGGGTGTGTACTGTGACAGGAGACTCGAAGTATATTGTTTGTTTTCTGTTGTTTTCTTCAATAAATAATACGGAATCAATTTGGTTTACAGGGACACAAAGTCTGGAATAAGATAGTGATTCATGACCGATAGAAAAACTCACCATATTACATGATAATCATGTAACTAGAGATGTCACTAGACTTAGTGAGTCTTAGATAACAGTATCTGGCTATCAGTTTAAAAACCCAAATGTAGGCAATAGCTTTGCCCTATTACTTAAATTTATACTAGATTACGAAATGTACAAAATTAACAGTAGACCCACAGAATCTATGCCAAACTGGTACCACTTTGGATCAGACACCCCAAACAGGAGATTGTAAACATGTCATTTTGGTCCCACGTCATTTCGGACTTGCAACATTTCAGACTCAAAAAAATATGGCCTCAACGTTTTGGGCAGTGACATTTTGGACTCCAGTAGGTGACAATTCAGACTCAGGAATAAGTTGGAAAGGAAAGGTTGAACACAACTGTCAAATCGATTTATAATAAACCAAAAGTAATTTTACAAAATAATAACATGGAGGTAAAATTTACCGCTCGCAATCATGTACTGCATGTGGAATCGTGGATCATGCACCTTGTAGACCTCTTTTTAAGGAACGACAAAATTTCCATTGTTGAATGTTTATGAAAAGAATGTTTTATTTCTTTCTGTAATATGTACATGTATAAAAAAAAAGTAGCTGATGAATTATTAGAAATAGGCCAATTCAAAACATGTGAAACATGTGGTTATTAAAAAAGAATAAAAGAATAATGTGCTGTTGGATTTATTTCAAAATGACCTACGTAAAAAAACAAAAGTAATTATTTACTCGACAGGCACTGTTTTTAAAAGCCCCTAGAAATTTTTAATATAATCCGTAAGCTACACGTTGACATGACATTTATTGGTCAAGTTCAATACTCCCCGATAAAACAAAATGGAACAAGCAATGTTAATTTTTTATTAGTGGTCTCAACAATCGCCGATCAATTAAATAAAACAAAAGACAGCTATGTTACAAATATATCACACAAATTTTCAACATTCTTCTAATTATTCATCTGGGTTTGTATCATCGCCAGACCGAGTACGAAAAGTCGTTGAGTAAGTCTGAACCATCTTCAAATGAAGTCCGAAAGGTTGTCTTTGTTCAGTCTGAAATGACGCGGGACCGAAATGTTGTGCTACCAAACAAGAAACTATGATTTTTGTGATAGTTATCATTATTGATTTGGTTAATAAATCCTTTGCCTATTAATAGCTGGAGATAAGTCTTAATGTTTGAAAATATCATTAATAAATTATGAAATTTGATAAAATCATAAACAAAATATTAAAAATATCGAATATTTAGAGAGTACACACATGATGATGATAGCCTACAATATATGTACTATGCCAGAGTTATTACAACGCTTGTTACTACCTTACATATCTGTTAATAAGATTTAATTAATCACCTTTTATTATTTATCAATACTGTACGTTGAAAGCTTATATTGAGTAGGTTAATTGGGCTATCTGACTATCTGTCCATTGATAAAGACTTACATGTCTTATGTTGAGAGATTTTTTCTAATCAATGAAGTGTGGAATGTAATAAAATGTTATTGACTGTGAACATGCATGTTTGAATGTATGGAACGCCTAATCTCAATTATGATGGATTGATACCATTCCAAAGCCAAAATACTGTAAATAGTCATTTGTCGGAAAAATACATAGGTCTACATGTATATATGTAGAAATTCCCAAAACAGCCCAAGAGTACCTTAGAAAGCTTTGTCAGAGTCTTTTTACACCTTGCCAGAAACCTTGAAATATTATTATAGACTATGATTAAAAATATGTGCTGTCAAATAATTCAGTACAGTGGTAAGGCTCCTTAGGGGAAAAATGAAGATTTGGGCAGCTACGGAACCAACCTATTTCACTTCAATTTTAAGATTCATAAAATATTAACTATTTTTAGTCAAATAAGAGAGAAATTGAGCTTAACAAACAAACTACATCAGTTTTGGACCGACCAACATATGAGGACTTTTATGAATAATTATCTTGATAATTATCTTGACTCCGTGTCAGACCTTATGATTTATACTTACTACATGCCCAATACCTCTTGTACACCCACCCTGTTAAAAATAGACACAGAAATCAATACTATTGTATGCTTAACTACATCAATTTTATAAAATAATTTTATACCACATACAGGTACAAATAAAATTTAGGCAGCCTAAAAATGAATGAAATGGGGGTTTAACGTCCTACTGTTCTGCTCTGACTGGGTCTAATGAAGACAGAGGCATTCTAAACATAAGAGTATTACAGCTGATGTTTATCCTTTTGAACATTCAATGAACATTAAAAGTAAAGCTTATCAGTTGTTGAATTAACAAACACTATCAAATGAATTTAGAGATAAGTTTTGTAATATATAGTTTATTGTTACAGTATAAGACAATTGTTTATCAACAAGATTAAATCAGTTCTGTAAATAGTAGGGATACTCACCTAATGACACAAAGATAATAATTATATATCTTTATTATTTCTGAAAATATATCTTATTGTTACAGTATAAGACAATTGTTTATCAACAAGATTAAAGCATTTCTGTAACTTGTACCAATACTCACCTAATGATACAGAGATAATTATTATACCTTTATTTCTGAAAATAAATGAAATTATTCATCATCATGACATTAGTAAAATTTTACCAATCTCATCTGAATCATTTACAGCTGGTTGTTTTAAGGTTGCTTTTAGTCAGGTCAGGTACGTTAGTAATTGTGTTTCTGTTTATGTGTGTAGCTGTAGATTGGGTTCTTCTTAGATTTTAAGGAACTGACATTTTTATTGTTTCAGGGCCACGTTGGGCTTCTTGGAATTTGGGAATATTTTTATGTATACGTTGTGCTGGTATCCATAGAAACCTAGGCGTCCATATTAGCCGTGTTAAATCTGTCAATCTAGACACTTGGCAACCAGATCAAGTAGCGGTAAGAAATAATAACTTTTTATAAAAGTTATTTAAAGTTGAAATAGACTCAAAACTAATCAAGACTACACTTAATTTTTATTTCGTGGAATTTCACCCATTTTTAAGCTTTAACTTTACTTTTCTGTACGGTCTTCAGAACACATCTTTTTAAAGATTTCCTCACCTAAACAAATGAAATTTTTTGTACACCCAATTTTTTATTTCATTGTTTCGACATTTTCGAGTTTTAACCTAATTTTTCAGTACAATATTAAAGACACATCCTTGAATGAATAAAAAATTTCCAAACCTGAACAAAAAATAAACAGATTTCAGAATGATTGATATGGAATAGCCTAAAGAAGTTATGAGTACATGTACCATGGAGCCCATATATACAATTCATGTGTAAACTTTTAGATAGATAAACACTATTTGTATTTACTTCTATTGTCATCTCATTTGTATATAATTATATCTTTTTCAGATGATGCAAGAAGTGGGCAATAGTCGAGCTAGAGCTGCCTATGAAGCGGAATTACCAGACAACTACAGAAGACCTCAGACAGACTCGTATCTTTTGAACAAAACATTCATTATATTTTAGAATTCAGGAGTCATAAAGTGACAGTGAAAATTAGAGTATATTGGTTACTAAATTTATATTTTCGAGATACAATTTTTTTATGTCTTATGATCCAATAATATAATTTTTATAACCCAAGAGTACAAAATTACTGGCTGAATGGTTAGCATGCGCGCGCTGTATCATAAAGTCACTCATTGAGTCGACTGGTGTGGTTTCGAATCCCCGGTTGTACATGACAAGGAGTAGGGTCGCCTGTCCAACCTCGTGGGTTTTCTCCGGGTCCTCCGGTTTCCTCCCACTGCTAAAGACCCCTACGCGCAAGCGAATTATTGAAATAAAATTGAACCATATATTAGTCCCGAAATGACCTAGTTTGTGTCGAGTGGACGTTAAACCCCATTTCTCTCTCTCTCTCTCAAATACTACTGGTACTTATTTTAAGAAGAAAATATTAATTTGGATAGAGTGTGTATTTCCTTAATGTTATCAGTGCATTAGAGTCATTTATAAGAGCTAAATATGAACATAAGAAATATATAGCTAAAGAATGGGTACCACCTAAACCAACTGTACCAAAAGATGTAAGTTAAAATGTTTATACTTATTTTACATTGTATACCCTGATTTGTAAAACTGTTGAGATCTTAGATAATATTTTATGTTTTGTGAGTGAATGTTTAGCAAATGGAGTAATGGCAGCTGAGGGCCAAAAGTAGAAGGTACACTGTCTGAATTATGACACCATTTACATGTGTGGGGTTGGATGGCCGATTGGTTAGCACACATGCACGCTGTATAATAAGGTCTGTCATTGTTAGTCCCAAAATTACTTGGTTTGTGTCAAGTGGACGTCAAACCCCATTTCTCTCTCTCTCCATTTACATTTTGGGTTTTAATAATTATTGAAATTTGTATACCTTAATTAGCACTTACATTGGAGCTAAGCGTATTTGGTTTGTGTCCAAATGAATTGTTGAATTGGATATAGATCCGATGTGTTATTTTGTTTTTTACTGAAGCAAGCTCTTAAACATGCATTATGCAAGAGCTAAATCTGATTATTGCAAGTCTTAATTTAGGCTTCAGATGTTATAGAAATTATAAATTAGATCTTTATTTAAACAACAAGACCAAAATCAACTCTGTAGACCCACGGATGGCTCGGCTACAGCTCGGATTTAAATAGGATTTCACTAATTGATTAAATCAAATAAGGGGTAACCTGATGAAAATACGTCAGTTAGATCGAGGCTAAATGATAGAGTGTACTTAGCGAGGACGCTGTAAAGCGTTTCCGTATGCCATTGAAAACTTTACTTGATAATCGAGATATGTAGGTGGAGTTAACGCCTGTCAATCAAACGATCGGCGAAGGTGAAGACGCATTTCGCTACCATTTCTAGTGAAATATTACAACGATGATAACTATGTTCAGAATAGGGTAATTGGACTGAATTTTCCAATATATTCTTCTTTCATCATCTACTTTTGAACTGTTATAGCAAGAATGGCCAACTCTCTATAAAAATCTCCCATAATGTATCTTTAATGATTAAATTTTTAATCGAAAAAATTATCTAAAGTTAGCTTGTTTACGAATTTTAGTTAGAATTTGGGGTACTGTTGCGACAGGTTATCAGCTGATAAGACAAATCAGCACATAAATTCCAAAGAAATAAACAAATCAAAGTGGGTGTGGCAATATAAACTTTTTTTCTGTTGTGATGAAGATAAGTTTATCGCCATATCAGTGGGATAAACGATTAGCCTACTTGAATTATGTATGTATTTTATAATTATATCTAGTTTTATGGAGAGGTAAGAAAATTGACAAATTCTGTTGGGTAAATACACCTGGAAAATAAACGTTTTTCTATATTTTCATTATCAGTGGATTGTTGGTTTCCTGGATGTGGTTTCAAGTCTTTTAATAATTTTATTTTTTCACTCCTTTGTACATGTATCTCCGAACTTTTTCAAAGCATTTACTGGTAGCTTTCATTCTCAGATTATCATTTATCATGCCTTTATAGTTCTGTTAAGGTTCCTTAAACAACTGGGTTTCTTATAGAAATGCATACAGGTCTGTCATCTATTCAGATATCATTGTTGTTTGTAATTGTTTTGTATGTGACAAGGAGTGGGATCGTCTGTTTAGCCTTATTTGGTTTCTCTGGGTTCTCGGGATATCTTCTCCAAGACCCTGCGCACAAATGAATTAATGAAATAAAAATGAACTGGTAGGACTGGTACCATGTGTTACTGGTAGTTCAAAATAACCCCATTTCTCAATTGATTAGTCCAAAATAACCCCATTTCTCAATTGATATAACATGACAAACAAATGTCCTTTTCTCTTAAAAACACTAAAACATTTATTTCTAAAATGAATGAAATATCCATAAATGTTTCACATTTTATCCATTCACAATCTATATACATCATGAAATATACATAAATGTAGCACATTTTATCCATTATCAATACCACAACCTATATACATCATTTAATTAAACATGCATTATGCAAAAGCTAATTCTACCTAGTGCAAGTCTTTCTTTAGGCTTTACATGCTATATAAATTATTAATTAGACATTAATTAACTTATCAAGAACATAACTCTCGATGCCAATTTTAGCCTGCTATATTTAGTGGATTTGAAAACATTTTGGGATGGATGATTTAAATTTAAGGTAAAAATGTAAGATAAGGCTTTGTTTATTATCGTACCAACGGTAGTAAAGATGATTGTGGCTAGCCTAAAATTGAATCGCTAATATCTTGGTTCGGAGTGAAGCAATTTGACTGAAATTATCAGCATATTTGGGGTTTTTTTTATCTATTTTTTAACTATTATAGCGAGAACTGTCAGCTCTTTATCTAATCTTACCTAATGACCCTTTAAACATTGATGTCTTTTCTGTGCTATTGAATAATTTGTTTAAGATTATCTCCCCTTTCAATTATCTCTGTAAAATTGATATTTTCAGTGGGTGGAAGATGATAAAGAAAAAAAGAAACCAAAATCTAAACCATCATCATCTTCAATACAACTCAATGCTGTAAGTAAATTAAAATTATACAGAACACAATTCTATGGAATACTATGATTATGACATTTTGACTTATCAATCAAATGATGGGAGTTAAATGTATATGTATATGTTATATAAGTTGATGTTATTATTGTGCTATATCTGTTATGGTAGACTGGTTTTGTTGTCTAAATATACATAAAACTCCATAAAAATATTTATATTGGAAATACTGCTATTTCCAAAGATTGTGGATATAGTGATCATTTTAAAAACAAGCTGTGCTTTCTGCGTATGTTTTGTCCCTTTCTGTCTAGCTGAAATAAATATTTGCAAATACATGTTTATGCAGGGTAACTGTATGTAATCAGTTTTATATGAAGTATATGTCATCTTCTATTCATTTGTATCTCAGTTAGACAAATTATTTCGACATTTGGGTGATACCAGTCCATAATAATCACAACTATAAATTAATGAGAAATTGAAAGAGAAAAATGAATGGCATGCATATATATTGTCATATGAAGACAATTATTGAATCTGGAAGTGAATCAGTTTATGTTCTTTTCAATAGGCACCTCGATCCTCCACATCAGCCAAAGTGGAAAAAAAAGCAGCTAATGCAGATTCTCAGTCGAAACTGATAGAAAAGAAATCACCACCTTCTCGACCTGTTGTTACTGGAGCAGCAGCAGATCTTATGGGTTTAGGTAAGTTATAGATTAAAACTGTAAAAAATGTAAACAGGAAAACAAATAGTGATGTTGTCTATTGTAAGTAGAATTGGAAGTGTGTATGGATAAATTGAACTCTTTCAAACAAACCCTTGCATTCATGAACCACTTTACTTTATTTACTGGCTGACTGGTAGCCAAGCCTATGTGCTAACCAATGAAGTCTAACAATACTATAAGTGCAGTAACTGTTTTTAGATTAATAACATGGTTGCCTAAATAGGTAATGAAATAGACCTAATAAAAGAATGTCAAATTAACTTAGTTTTAAAAAAATCCACAAACAATAGAAATGATAGTTAGTTTAACAACTGTTAAGATTATCTTGGAAAGCTTAGTTAATTTAGAAATTTGAGAAGTGCCATTCATCACCATCCATTGGAAGTGTATCATATCTCTGAATCCCTCCATTTTAAGCAAACTAATGACACGTTTTCTTGCATCATTATGATTTTCGATTAGAAGTATAAAAGTCCGCCCTGTACAAACTGTCATTTCCCTGGCAATATCGATATAATGTAGCTGGCAAGCTATAATTTGACATCTTCTAAATGGTCTACTTACTTTTACCCATGTACACTGTCAGACATTAGATTCATATATTTTTCAAGAAAATAAAATACATGTGTGTCTTCTACAGATTTTTCATTCTTAAGTACACCACTATTATCTAGCAATAATGCCGGTGAGATGTTACATGTATATGTTTTTGGTGGTGATGGGGTTTTCAATAAATCTTTTTCTACCCCTTCCCCCTTTTTTTTTTTACGTCTTGGACATATATCTTTTCTGTTTGAACCCTATGTACAAGCTAGTAGCTTTTATTATTACCAAAGCAATAATACTGCTGATTGTTTTGTTAAAATTTTTCTTTACTTTTTGATTTGATTTCTATGGTGAATGAAGTTATGTTCTTTATACTTTGAAAGAATAAACTATGTATAGAATAACAATTTTTTTGTTTTTGTGTTGCTTTTATTATGCTGCTTTCAAATCGTGCAATTTTACTTGCAAATTCCAAACTTATTTTGACACGCAAGTTTACATGATTAATGATAACTCTTGTGACTGGATTTAAGCAAATCCAGTTATGATACATGTATAGCAGATTTGATTGAATGCACATCATAATTTGCCTTTCTTTATATATTTTTAGCTGGTCATTGGGGGTTGTTTTATAATGGCCAAACTGATTAAGAAAAGAACTATACATGCTTTGATGCAACTTCCCCTAGTACAATGTGTTCTAATTTTAATCTCTGTGATATTATCCCACGGACTATGTGAATTATTTATATACTGAGATGCAATAAAAACACACCACTTTTATAAATGTATGATTGTAAATACATGTATATCTTACAATTCTGAATGCAACACCAGATCATGTCAATATCCCACAAGGTGATGTTTCCATAATTGTGTAAACAGGCCACAGATAAATCCTCTCAAACACAAAAAAATGAGTTCGACAGAATTTAAAAAAATCACAATTTTATGGTGCAGGGATATTAAATTTATCTTTTAAATAGCTTGGATTAGTTGAACTCCTATAGTTCTGTTGAAGACACAGAGATATATATCGAGGTAGAAACATACATGTACACCGTGGAAATGCTACATCATGTTAATTCAAGAGGTCAAAATTACTAAAGCCACTTGAAGCAGCTTTGCAATGAGAATGGAAAAGAATCCTGCAAGCAGCTTATATCCTGGCATGAGGAGTCTTGCTGTATTATTGACTTTTGAATTTTACCCCTTATTATGTTGTAAAATTGTTATGGCATTTGTAGTTTCTTGATTTTATTTTGTCAGTAATTGTCCAGTCTACAATCATGGCAAAAAATCACATTTCATTTGCATTATGTCTCACCAACACTTCAAATGGTGTGTTCTAATTGCATCTCAGTATACATGTATATCATTCACATAGTAGTATTAGACTGGTTTCCATTGTTTTGAATATGGAGAAACTGGTTTTCATTGATTTGAATATTGAGAAAAATTCATGAATGATTATATTGCAAATACTGGGCATTTAGCAATCACTTCACAAACCAGCTGTGCATTTTATGTGTAGGCCTAGATCAAAAAGTGACCTTTCTTCATCTAGTGAGGGTAATCTCACTTAAAGCAAGGAGCAGCAACTGCAGTCAAGTCTGATCTCACAATGTTGTTAGTCGTCCTATCCCTAAAATTTCAGAACATTAATCAGGAATGAAATATATTGATAATAAGACAACTAGGGTTAGTCTATCCATGGTTGTTATCAAAGTATTTTAATAATTTTGACACCTTTTTTGTTACAATTTTGTCTTCTGAAAATCAATAATCGGTACAGTTTCAGTATGATTATTTAGATACGTGTTGAATAAAGTGTATTTTTATTGTATATTATTTCCTTTTTATATATAAGAAGCATCAAATACAAGTACACCATCATCAAATGGAGATTTGTTTGATATATTTGGATCTCAACCTGCCGGTCAACCACCAGTCTCTCAACCGGCACCAGTAAATGGAACAAATGTTGGTAATACATTCATAGAAAATACTCCACAACAGGTAAGTTTTTCATGTTACTTACTTCAGTTAAAGTCACACTATTTCACACCATATAGTACATATGTATAAGCAATAAAAGTTGTTTTACAGAAACTACTTTCGTCCAAAATTTAGGTTTTTTTTCCATGGCACACCCTTTGTTAATGTTCAGTTTAATGAACTTTTGTGAAATATACAGATTGGATTTCTTGATAAAATTATTTAAAACTTGATGAGATAGCTTTCAAAGAAAATACCTACTGATTTGTTCATTTGAGTAAGGAGTACTCATTTCCAATTTTTTTTTGTAGAATTTTTGCTCACATTTTGAATGTTAGATATGTGAATTGTATAAACACATTCCAAATATAAATTTAATACAGAGATTGTTGCTATCGTTGAACTGTAAACATGATTTAAAGATTCTAAAGGGGATGTCAAAAAAGGAAATCAGTTATTGATACCAACTAAAGTAATAGGTGATTTTAAGCTCATCAAGAGATATATGTTTATTTTTGTTTTAAAGAATGGAAGTACACCAGAAGAAAGTTTATTTGATGATGGACCAAGTAAAGTAACTGAGAAATCCACTAAAGAATCTATATTAGCACTATATGGTAGTAGTAATAATCAACAACAACAAATGTTTGGTGTACCTGGTAAGAGTTTATTCCCTTGGCTTAATTTGGCTTCTATTTTGTGAAATTGTGTGACAAAAGTGGCAATATTTACAAGTTTCTATGATAATCCTGTGATTTTATCATCGTTAAGACCACTTCTCAAACTCTGAGAAATGATATTATTGAGAAATCATGTATTTGCATGTCATTAACATGATTATCAAAGAAACAGTTCTTGTCTTGTAAACTTTGTTTAATTTGGTGTTTAGTTTTTGTGTGTGTCATTTATGAATGGTTAATTGGTCGCTAATTTTGGAAATGAAAATACATGTATTCTCATAGAACTAAAGATGATTTATAGATTAACCCTTAACTGGTCATTGTCAACTATAATCAACACAATGCTATACAGCTAAAGTCGACCACAGCAAGAACCTTTTTTATAAGCCGCATTTGAGTATTTAGTTTCGTTATTTAATTGATATGGCCACGCATGCGTGTCAGACAGGAACTTGTCTTGTCAAGGGCATTGAGAAAAACATGTCTTTGTTCAACATTTTTTGACAAAAAACGTAATTTAACGATGTCGGGAAGGTTAAAGACTCTCAAAGGGGTTGAAATGGTTATGAATTATTCCGACTCGGATTATATCGATGACACTGATTCTGAAGACGATATTCCTGATGAAAATGATTTAGAATGATTTCCAGATTATAGACCAACTTATCTCCTTCAACTTTTTATTGGTGTCAAGAGTCTATCACTTATTATTATCCGGCAGTAGTTGATTGAAATAGGCATACAAAATATTTCACCTCAGCCTTTATTTAGTCTGACAACTTGACGTCATGACGTCAAAATGACGTCGACCGGTTAAGGGTTAATATGCAATACACTGAACTAGGTTGGTAAAAAAAGTACTGGCGTGAAAGAGAATATTTTTTATGGATTTGAAATTTATATACATTAACAGGGTATAAAAATGTAATGGTAATGGGTAAGACATCTTGATATACATATTGAATTTTTCAGCTTTTGGGATAATACTGCCTGGTATCTGCTTAACTAGGCAATATATATTCATTATTGCTATCATGAGTCTCAAAATTACATTAAATCATTCATACTGTAGATACATTATTGTCTTCTATTTATATTATAATCAATACTATTTGCTAGATTAAATGGCTTAACACTTTTTGCTTTACAAAAAATGTCTGTTAGCTTGTTAATGTTAATGACTGCTATTTTACATCCGAACAATCTCCACCTCCGTAAGATCTGAAAATCTCAAGGAGATAAACAGAACAGATTTGAATACTGATCAGATAAAATGATTACATGCTTCATCAGTGAATTCTTGTTCTACAGTTTTTCATTAGTGTTTTGAAATTTCCTACTACAAAATGGCAAATTGAGATAAATCAGTTATCCACAACATGCATCATATTACTACAATTTAGACTATAAAATGAAACTTGATAAGGCATAAGAATTAAAAAATGTAAGTTTTAATTAAAAAATAAAAACCCTTGCCATTGATCTATAAACAATGACTGTTTTTGCTGTATTTTCTTATTTATGTTTTTTTTAAATCTTTTTTTTTTTGTTGATATTTAAATATTATTTTATCTCCCGTGTTACGAAAAACAAGGGGTTGCAAGCTTTGATGTAACAATACCGTGCATTTGAAGCCTTAAATTGGTGTAAATGTATAAAATCCTACAAAGTTTTGTTTAACTTTCTCTCAATTGAAAACAAATTATCACTAAATTTACAAGTATTAAGTTTTTATTACTAAAGATTGGTAAACATTATGGAAAATATGATGTAGATATTTTTGGATGAATTTAAAAATAGTTTGTAAATTCAGTGATAATTTAAAGTACCTTTTGATGGTGATAATACATATATTATAATATGTTGATGCTAATTGATTTTATGAATATAATGTGCAATGATTTAATCCAAATTTGAAAAGATTTTTATTAATTCTTTTTCCAAGCTACTTCACCTAAAAGTCCATCTTTGCCAAAAGGATTTGAACTGAACACACCACCGGCAGGCATGCCATGTTTTCAGTATTATCCGATGCCAAATTCATACTTTTCTTATGATACTAATTTAGGTAGTATTCAAAATCCAAATTACTGCATGGGGAGATATTTTTGGTAGATATTTTATTCAGTTTTTATTTCTCCTTCAAATTTAAGTTTAACAGTTATGGAAAATGGTGCTTGTTATATTTAGATTAAGCTAAATTTAGTTTGTGTTTTCGTTATTTTGTTACTAAATTAAATCCAAATGTTAAGATTAGGGAAACTTTGCTTTTACAACATTATTGAGTAAAAAAATGGTTTTGTTTAGATTATTTTCCCATAAGAAAATAATTTCAAAAGGAAAGACTCAGGGACCCTAGTAATATTTTCATGATGAACATACAGGCTTTTATTGAGGTTTTGTTTTTAAACTTAAGTTATCTTAATTCTTCTTTTTGGCATGGGCTTCTCGTATTTCCTTTCTTTCTAGCAAATTAAGTTATTTATGTTGTTAAATTTCTTGCAATTTGTTTTTGGAAAACTAGTAATAATATTTTATTTTTTTTGTATTATTATGCAAACCACTGCTATCTTCAATGGGATATTTTTGGCAATGTTAATAAACTCATAATGAGTCTAATCATTGTGATCCATCCATTATCTTATATAGATTGGGGGCGTGTGTAGTTCTGGGTGTGCAATAACAAAATTGCAACATATTTATCTTCTAACATGAGTTGTTTGCATAATTTTGTAATATAAAACAGTATTTAAACATCAGTGCTTCACTTTTTAGATAATTGTAATAGTACACTTGTAAAATCAAGTTCACACATTGTACTGCATGGTCTCGTGCTCGTGGAGAAATTGATACCATAACATAATACCATAACATGTTGTGTATTGATTACCTTGAAATCAGTTCTATGATTTAAACATTTATTTATTCAGAAAAATAGAACTTTCTTCTTTTATTATCTTTCCCAACTTTAAATAATGAAGCTTCACACCCAACTTTTAATTTTCTTTTCAACTTCCTTCTGATTAGATAATTATTTTTAAAAAGATAAGCATTAGAAAACATTTTAGATATAAATTCAGTAATGTATTAAGCACAGCAGTTCAAACAGCATAATTAATATTAACAGCAATGTGTTATTTAAATTATCAAACTTTCTTTTGCTTGTGTTTTAATGATTAGTAATAGTTTGTTGCACTAATAGATCACCTGTTAAAAATGTATAAGTTATGTTAAATATCATTGCCTCATCAAAACAGAAGCAGAGGAACTAATTTCACTATATTTTCAGGTGGTATGTACATGCCCCAACAAATGCCACAACAGAACATGGGAATGTTTAGTGGTGGGGCTGGTGGTAATATGATGGGACAACCACAACAGGGTATGCCAGCTATGGGACAACAGCAACAGCAAGCCATGCAATATGGAAATATGGGAATGCAACAGGTTTTAAAAATATTTTCATCTATATTATGTATTTAAGAAATGAAATGATATGAAATGGGGTTTAATATCCTATTGTTCTGCTCCAATTAGGCTTATGAAAACGGACATAAGACATACAGTGTGCTATCGATGGTATTTTGCCAGGACAGCAGCGCTACAGGCTATAGCCTACTTTTATATCGAATTCCAGCTGCCAAGGGTTCTTTTACATGCATGCCTCGGTTTCTTGTCCCATCAAAATGACTATACATTGTCCCTTGTCAGGCCCTCGTACTGCATCACTATAAAGAGGGGACCATGCCAGAAAATCCAAATGAACTTCTCGGTCAACACAGGAATCAAACACGAAACCTCCAGATTATCGAGCTAATATCTTACTCACTGATCCACTGTGGCTTCCATATTATTTAACAGTATTTTCATTAATAAACTGCAGGAAGCCTCAGGTGGCATTTCCAAAGAAGGTAGAACCCAGTCTTTTATTCTTTTTTCACCCACATTTTCATGCGGACGTATATTGTCGTCACCCCTGTCCATCCGTCCATCAATCCACAATTGTTTGTGTGCACTCTACAGGTCACAATTCTTATCCAATTTTGACGAAACTTGAAATATAGGTTTATATCCAAAAGATCTCGGGTTGCTTTCTATATTGGCATGTATTGAATCAAAACTTCATTGATTATGGACCCTATAGAGGTCACAATTTTAAACTGATTTTGATGAAACTTGAAATGCATGTTTATAACCCAAATATCTTGGTTCCTTTCGATATTTGCACATATCGGATCGTAACATCCTGAATTATGGCCCCAGGTTGTACTAAAAATCGCCTTTTTTAGCTTGTGGCCCCTGTGGAGGTCACAATTATTATCCAATCTAAAAATATGTTTGATTATATCACCATTACACCGTAATGAAGTTTGACTTCGAATTTCGTGAAAATTGGACCAAAACTGCCGGCAAAATGGCCGCCGCCTGTACGCGAATAGTGTAAAAATATGGTATATCAAGGTTGTGGACCCTCTAGAGGCCACAATTTTGATCCGATTTTGATGAAACTTGAAATGCAAGTTTTTAATCCAAAGATGTCGGTTCCTTTCAATATTCGCGCATATCGGATCGTAACTTCCTGAATTATGGCCTCTGTGCGAAAAATCGCGTTTTTAGGTTGTGGTCCCTCTAGAGGTCACAATTATTATCCGATTTAAAAAAACGTTCAAATATTTATACTGTAATGTTTGTCGAGTTCGATTTTCGTGAAAATTGGGACAAAACCGCTGGACAAAATGGCCGCCCCTCTTACGCAAATAATGTAAACATCTGGTAAATCCAGGTTGTTGACCCTCTAGAGGTCACTATTTTGATCCGATTTCGATGACACTTGAAATATATGATTAAAACCTAAAGATATTGGTTCGCGCATATCGAATCGTAACTTCCTGAATTATGGCCCTTGATTGATCAAAAAATTACGTTTTTAGCTTATGGTCCCTCTAGAGGTCACAATTTTTATCCGATTTAAAAAAACGTGTGAATATATCACCATTACACACTAAGATCTTGGTTCCTTTTGATAATCATGGATACCCGAACTTAACTTCCTGGATTATGGCCCCTGATTGTTCGAAAAATTGCATTTTTAGCTTGCAGATTCTCTAGAGGTCACAATTTTTTTCAGATTTTAAAAAACGTTTAAATACATCACCATTCCACCATAATGAAGGTTGAATTCGAATTTCGGGAAAATCGAAATGAAACTGTCCGAAAAAATGGCCGCTCTTTGTACGCAAATTGTGTAGAAGTGTGTAATATGAAGGTTGTGGATCCTCTAGAGATCATAATTTTTGTCTTTACATCCCAAAGATCTCAGTCCCTTTTGATATTTGCACATTTCAGACCATAACTTTCTGGATTATTGCCCCTGATTGTACAAAAAAATGCATTTGTTTCTAGCATGTTCTCTATCCATCTCTTGCAAAATGTGGGCGTATCCTGCCTGGCAGCCGCTGGTTAACAAATTTGATGGAATTTGGCTAGAAATAACTGAAACAATATAATTATTATATCTGATGTATGGAGTTATAGTCTTATATTGGTCATTGATTTATAAAAATAAGCAACAGTAGCCAATAAATACCCATGTAAATAAAGCCAATGACCTCTCTCCTTTCATCAAGAAATGAAGACCTGTCATGTAGCAGAATTGAGTAAATTGCACATAACTGTTAACTGTCACATAAACGCAATCACTGTTGACCTTTCGATACTTGCGCATATTGGACCATAACTTCCTGGATTATGGCACCTCATGTATCCCAACCTCATGTATCCAAAAAGAAGATAACATAAAACTAAATAGGGTAAAGAGCTGACAGCCTAATTTATACTTGATGCAGTGGCGGCGCCAGCCGTCGGTGATTGGAGGGGCAAAGCTGGGGCAAAGTCCAAGGTTAAGGGGGCAAAGGCACGAGCTTCAACTAGGTGTAGGGGGCCTGCCCCAGAAAATTTTGAAAAACAGATTGCCGGAAATGCAGCCTGGCAGTATTTCAGGCACTGATTGATGAGGTAAACTGTCAAACGAACGGACTTGCGAATCACGACGAAGCCCACTCACGAGCGTCAAAGCAGGGAGTCCTCCCCCAGAAAATTTTGAAAAATAGACTGCCGGAAATGCTGTCTTACAGTATTCTCTCAGGCACCGATCGTCGAGATAAATAGATCTGCCCAGATACCGTTCGTCGCCTTATCACTAGTTTATCCGACTAGAGAACAAAATGTCAAACGAACGGACTTGCGAACCTCAACAAATTCCCTTTGTGAGCACCAAAGTAGAGAGGCCATCGGGGACCTCGCCAAGAAAATTTTGAAAAATAGACTGTCGGAAATGCTCTACAACATGCAAGTTTATGACTGAGTGGGGATGTGGGATTTATTCACCGTAGAAGGCATTGATTTGATGATACTAAATTTTATTGCTGTAACATTTTTGTGCAAGAAATGAAATTTTTAATTAAAAGTTGGGAGATAGAATGTTACATTGAATGTACAAGGGTATGGCCCCTTTACCATTGAAAGTAATGTCGCTATATCACTAAAGATACTGTGAGGGTATTATAGTATATTTGCCACTGAAAATCTACCTTGTGTAAATTTAGCTTTAGCTGCAATTAATCCTCTCAGCTCAACTCATCATGGTTATTTGGTATTGGCTTGATCTATTCTTGATTTTTATTCATAAACTTATTCTTTATTTTAGCCAAATATGTATGGAATGGGTCAGATGTCTGGTATGCAACAACCAGGTATGATGGGTAATCAAGGTCATATGATGGGTGGTAACCAAATTAACATGATGGCTGGCAACCAGGGTAATATGATGCAGGCTAATATGTATGCTCAACAGCAGCAGATGCAGCAACAGCTCCAAATGCAACAAGTGAGTATTTTTCTTATTGTTCATTAATTATTGATAAAAATCTAAAGCACTTTGGTATGTGTAATGTACAGGAGTCTTAAAATGCATTTACTGAACTTTTTTGTTCAATTCTCAAAAAGTTAATGAAAATGTGCTTACATCTGTTCAAATGTTTTCATAGTGATACTGCAGAAAATGTGCTTGCATCTGATCTGATGTTTTCATAGTGATACCACACTCTGATCCTATTTTATCATAGTGATACCACAGAATTGTCATTTCGAAATAAAAAAATCCAAATTATTTTTCACCTTTGCATTTATTCTTGAACTATAATGTTTTTATTTTAGATGCAACAACAAATGAATGCCATGAAAGTAGGAGGCAATGTGTCAGGAATGGCTGCACAATCAGTACCAGGAGGGTGGGCAACGGGTGCCAGTTCAGGACAGACATTATCAAACAATCTATGGCAATGATTTATTAGGACAGACACTAGTCATTTAAAAAAGCTGGTATTAAATTTGCATTCCATCATTTTGTAATGTGTTCACTTACCTCCAGTTGATCATAAAAAAATTCTTTGACAGAAACTACAAGTTCAAAGACTAAAGGTCAAGGTTGGATTCAGTTGAATAAATTAAAATATCATAAAAGGAATGAATTACTCCAGAAAAGGAACAAGAAGAACTATATTTTCAAGTATAATAAAAAAAACAATAGGACTATTTAAATTTTTATTATGTTTCTCATGTGTACTGTTAGGTATAGTTTAATAATAATAAATAGGTAAATATGTATAATAGATTTATAACAAGTCACATATCGTATATTATAATAGAGATGTTTTTTTCTTGTCTTGTCAAATTTTTGTCACTCCAGTATCTTTCCTTTAAAAAGGCATTGGCTAGCATTTATGAGTGAGTAAAATCTTAATATCTTACTATCTGAACGAAATCTTAATCTTCATATTGAAAGTCTGTGTGTATTTGGTATCACACAAAGAAAAAAAGGCTAAATAAAAGCTGTTATCTCTAGCTTATTTTATTAGAATTAAAGTATTGTGTTATTATTTATGGAAGGTACTGGGTAATAGGAACTAGACAATATTCATGTGATATGTCAGTCATTTGGTGCACAAATAAACTGAATTCAAGTTCAAATCATGTAAGTTATACATTTACTTTCATGATATATAATTTAATGTGCAATGTCTGTTTTCATTAAGCTGTGCTTATTTCATATCTTTTTGTTTGTGTGTAGCTTTGATTAAAATATAGTTTAAAATGTAGTCCCAAAATTAGTTTTTTGTGCTGTGTGGTTTGTATATATGTCGTTTGTGCCAATTAATTATAAATTAAGAGTTTAGAAAAAGATCAATAGAGACATTGGCATTAGACAGAAAAGTGATCAGACATAGCAATATGCAGCTGTTATAATAACTCTGGGATTGAGTCAAATTGTCATTTTGGTCTTCAGCTTAGGTCTTAAATAAGTTAGTTTATTTATCCCTATATTCAAGCCCAGCAACTATAAATGTCTAAAAGCATTATGCAGTCAATTACTGTGGAACATACATGAGAACATTGCAATGGACATAACATCTGATTGATTAATTAATCCGTCTTTAACACGATTCCTAAATACCTCATTTAAATGATTGAGGACAGCAGATTTGAGACTGCTTTGGATGGAATTTTAATTGTTTTCATTCTTATATCAGTTGAACAAGTATGAAATTACTTTTATTTATTATACAGTCGATTTATTTGTTGTTTGTTTATATATTAATGTTATGCTTTCTAAATATTGTAAATATAAAAATGTTTTTCCCAAAAAAAAGGGGAACACACAAAATGTATTATTATATGGATGTAAATATAAGAAATAGATGTTGTAAACTAATATTAAATAGGATTATATGTATATAGCCGTCTATTGTTATTAGTGGTATTGCAATATCCGATTTAAAACTTCATTAGTATAAACATGAAATTCAATAAATCTAGGGTACATTTTCAGTTTCTATTTTTCATTGTCGACTTCTAAAGTATTATTTTATAAGTACATGTACCTTATAGGACATTAAAATGGACATTTATAATTTATAAATTAAAATATCTATTTGTTAATAAATTTATTTTTAGAAAAACAATGACTTCCAATCATTAACAAGCTGGACAAATTTTCCAAAGTTATTTATCTTATCTTCGTTGTTAATGGAATCAATACATGTATATTAGCATATTAAATGGTTTGAAATCAGTATTAAATTTAATGTCCATTTAATAACATTTTGAAAGCTCATAAAAGACAATTGTTGATGAATTCTGGTTGGTGTGTTCTCATCAAATTACATATAAGCCGAGGCACCCACTGTGAAAATGTTCAAAATTTAAGAAGTGTCATGTTCGGGATGGTATTAGCATACATGTACTTAAATATGTATATGAAGGAATGTACATCTGTGTTTCCATGACAGTTTCACACAACAACTTTGTTCTTTTTATAGGAAGTGAAAAATTTAATACCACTGATCCTATAGGGCAGTCAAATTTAAAGTTCATAGATACCACCATACATTTAGCAATAGTATGCTTTTATGCCTAAACTTTACCAGAAAGTTGTGGTAAGTGGAAAACATACTATAACACTACATGAATACTTTTTATATAAATTTAAATGACTGTCTAGATAAACTGTGGTGTATGTAAAGAAATGGCTGAGAACGTGTTAATATTTTGAGTTTAGTCTGTTTATGGAAGTTCATTAATTAATCATTATAACACTTTGTAGAAATTTCATCATCAGTATATATATATATTATGCACATTAAAAATGATATAAGTTTCCACATCTAAACTTGTTTTATGTATTGTATATTATGTTATCGTTATAGATTTTAAAATGGTTTATACTTAACTTAATATATTAAAGAATTGTATTGTTATTACCAAGGGAGAAGTGGTCAACTACACAAAAAGAAATATTTTAAAACGTATATAGTTAGTTGTGTTATTGTATCTAGATCATCATTAATTCACAATTAAGCACAAATAAAATGTTTTTGACTGTTTAATGTCGTTTCAAAGAATGTGTTATTTGAAATCTAAACCATAGAAATGCTTTCTTAAGGCGTTAGTGCATCTGCTATTCTGCTTACTTTATTTGGACTTTTTTACCATGACTATACACTTTGTTACTAAATAGAAATAAGCAGGAGATTCCACTTGAGTTTAGATTTTATTACTGTTTGACCCTTAGTTTATAGTGGGCGGTTGGGTGGCCGAATGGTGGAAACATGCACATTGGATCATAACTTCAGTCATTGAGTCAAGTGACACACATGGTTTCAATTTCCGACTTCTACATGTCGAGGGGAACTATTTCTCTCTCTTATATTGATATTGGCTTTCTGTGGTATTTATATACCCTTTGGATTCACTAACAAAAACCCAATTCTTTCTGATGCTTATTTCAATGTGTGTCTTAAAAATATTTTAAAAGTAGTATTCTGAAAATTGTTCAATATGATTTAAAACATTCTCAAATCTTCTATTAAATGAGAACATGATTAGTCGTCTTTATAGATCGCCCATGTTGAGTATTTATTACACATGTATTTTTGTTCACTTTGTGTCTATTAATTTAATATACTGCTTGTAATATATAATTTACAGTGTATATAATTTAATGTGGTGGAAATAAAAAACTGTAATATATTACCTATATAATTGTTGTAAATTATGCCCAACTCTACTTAAACAAATATATAGAGCTTTTATGCTGGGAGTTATTCTCTTTATCTAATCAAAGTATCCCTAAACCAGTTTCTGCATTTGTATTCCCCTGGCTGTTTTGGGCTTGGCGAGGAATTACTAATATCTGTATTTAATTCACAAATTATCCACTTACTATCTCCCGGACACACTCTCCTGAGTCTTCTCGAAACAACATCTACATTAATATTTTTGTGTCCGTTTTGGTGTATTGCAATAATGGATGGGGGATTCAGAACAAGGCCATATTTTTTTTATATATATTTACTCTAATCCCGTGTTGTATGTGATACTCCTAACTTCTACTAATAATTTTGAAAAGACACTGGCATCTGTTGCTCAGATTCGACCGAGAATATAACATAGCTTACGGTTACCCCCCAGCCCTCCTGCGTCCATCGTCGTTTGAAAATTTCTTAAGAACCCAGTAGGCCTACACTAAAACACAAACGTATACATTTTTGTAAAGTGAAAATATTTTAATCCAAAATCACTTATTACAGATATCAAACTATCAATCCGTAGTAATTTCCACATACATATTTTTGTAAGAGTGTAAATCGGTTTGAAAACTTGAATGCCTTTCTACCCATCCTTCACAGTTACTGCCAGTTTTAGACATTCTTACAGTGAAACGTGGAGATGTCTCGTACGTCACACCATAACTACTCCTGTCCAATGTGGCATCAAATACACTCGCTGCTACTCGAAGAAATTCAGATTTATGTTCGTTTCTTCTTAATCCGTAGAAAATATCACTGGAAGTTAAAGCTCTGTCGTATTGTTCGTGTCCTCCAAGTTTCGTTTTTGATGAAGAAAATTTGACCGCGTGAGTGTTTAGGTCTATTTCATCTCCCCTGGTGAGAAAAGTAATGTATACATCTCTTATGTTAAAATCACCATCTTGTGGTTCTGTTTGAGATTTAGAAACATCAATAATCGTTACACCAGATTCACCAAGTACCTAAAAGGAATAATAACTATTGAAACAGGACCAGATAAAGACGTCATATTTGTATTTTAAAGATACGTTCCTATGAAAGTATTTATAAGATGATTATTTCCAGTAAACGAATGGCATATTTGGTATAATATTAATATATGGAAAGTAGAAACACTCAATCTTAATGGGAAAATACCGGATTTCCATTCCAAAAGACGCCCATTGTACCCCAGCAGGACACATATGTAAGGGTGTCCCTAACTCTGTGATTAAACGGCCGAAAAAGAAATTTGGCAGAGCATAATCCAAGAATTTACATAGGCTTCGATATTTATGGTAAATTATTTTATGGTAAATTATGGACAGCAACTAACATCCTGAAAGTGACAATTAACAATGATAATAAATATAGATTCTAGTGGAATGGGTATTTTTCTTTGGATTAAAATGTTTTGAGAGGAATTTTAGGGATATGTCTTTTTACATGGTCAACTTACGTGGCCTGTAGCTGTAGAAGTGCCAGCATGTGTTATGACCAATGCTGTATTTTCATCTACGCCTATTCCATAATCAACACCATTAGAGAGGTGTCGAGTGTCCGACAATAAGCGGATTAACCGACCTTCTCTGCCTCTGTTACTGTTAAAATTAAAATGAAACAGAAAGTTATTTATTTATGCTATATAGATTCCCACGTTTTAATCGTGGAGTAGTCGTGGTTATCCTATCAGGTCTTATCATATATTAAGGTCATGCGTAGCAATCGTGCTAATCGTATGGGGGGGGGGGGGGTGGATGTATCATACGGTCTGTCACTGAGTCAACTGGCGGGGTTTCGATTCACCGGTTGTACGTGACAAGGAGTAGGGTCGCCTGTCCAACCTCGTGGGATTTCTCCGGGTCCTCCGGTTTCCTCCCAAGAACCCTACGCGCAAGCGAATGATTGAAATAAAATTGGACCATGTGTTACTCCCGAAATGACCTAGTTTGTGTCGAGTGGACGTTAAACTCTCTCTCTCTCTCTCTCCCTCTCTCTCTCTCTCTCTCGCTCTCTCTCTCGCTAATTGTATCGAAACGTATCTGCGCGTACCAGATCGTGGACTCAATAGGGACAATCCTATCGGAACGCATCGCACGACACTGAGAACCTAGCATTAATGTACCCAATTCCGTCGTTTTATACGACGAAATCAACCAAATGGACAATTTGCTCTTGATTAAATAACTAGATAACCAATTCCAAAGCAATATTTTGTTAATTGTAAACCTGCTGAATTGTCCATTGAATATGTCTTCGGAGTTATGAAGAATGAACGTCACTTTTGTTGTTGTTTTGCACTTACCCAAAATGAGTATCCAGAATATATCCATCAAATAAACCAGTACCCCCGTGTTGATTGTATACTAGATCGTCAGAATGACTTGAAGATGTGTGAGCACCGTAACGCAAGGCATCATAACTAACACCACCTAATATAACAGATTTAAAGAACCAGGTGAAATATTTATTAAATTTTCACAGAATTTAAAAGGGAACTGAAGTCGTTGTAGATTTTGTTTTATTTTATACATTATTTTGTTTCGCCCGTTATTAAACAACTAAAATGCCGGATGTGACGTTATGAGGGTAACTGCCAATGACTATGACTAAATAACAAACCAACTCGTTGTCTGTAAGGTACTGGTTGAATTGAAAACTTTTATACGTCATATGCCTTTCTTATACACTGTGATAATAAAGGACCAAACAATTTGCATATAAGGCTGTGCAAGGTTCAAACTATTTTCTAATATATACTCTTCAAAAAAAGTAGGGTGTATTGAAATGCAAATACCTATGCAGGTTGCGATATGATAAATAGTCATGGACATTTGACATGCTTTGAGAGTATGTTCATAGATGAAGAACTTATCGCCCGAACAGAACCACTGAGCTGCACATGCGACACGCAATAGCGCCATACACGTGGGAGGGATCCATTGTAGAATTTGACACTTCAAGGAAGGTTTGATGAAAACTGCCGCGTGCTGGTGTATCTATCCATGTTTGCTTTCCTGTCGGTTCTTGCATAAGATTTACTATTTAGCATATCTTTGCTTTAGTGTGTTACGTTTAATTTGATCGGGAGGAGTGGGTCAGATTGCCCCAAATCGTGATTGGACGGTTGATTAGGAGCATGCCACGACGAATTGCTGAATGTCTGAGGATTGGTGGAGCAATTACTCATTATGACAAAAATCAAAAACGTCCATTTTCACTTTTGACAGTGTATCTCTTTGCGAGTGAAATGGGGCCGCCAGATAAGCCGCCGATATGAACTGTTTATGTTCAGGTGTAGACAATAATTGGCCTAGTATTAACATAAACTGGTTACCTCTAATAAACACAGCAGTGCATTTCCGCAGTTTTGTATTGTTTCTGAATATCCCCTACTTTTTTTTTTAAGAGAATATATTGAATATTTTTTTTAAAATCTGTAACGTCTGGAACTATGACTACCCCGAAAAGGTCTTGTACCAGAGTGCAAGATCAAACGCGTAGCATGTTGTTGTATTATAAATGATCCAGTAATATTACACATACCTTCGACCATCACAGCCGACGGCTGACAAGCTGTACCGGCACTTGACCCAGCTACAACCACACCTATATTGTTTTGTTCTATGATTGCTCTCATTGCTGGAGATAACGTATGTCCATTATCAAAAAATCTATTAATAAATAATCTTTAAAAAAGCACTTCTACTACAACAGGTTATCAAATTAATATGAAATTGATTGTGATTCAGAGAACAGACTTAATAATATCAATATAACTTACGCTGGCCCACGGATCCATTGACCTGATTTGATATGTGCGTTTGCTGTTCATTGCTTACAATGTCTGTGTAGTTTGTGTGTCTAGTCCATGGGTTTGTCTTGTGTGTTTTGTTTTCTTGTGTTGTGGTCCTAATGCACTTACTGTTTAAATTAATAGCTATAAATGACACAAAGAATTTATATACAGGGCAGGTGACTCTATTGTGACTTGAGCTCCATACTTACGATTCTATGATTCTGGCTTGATCACCACCACTAAAGAAGAACCCTGTTTGCTGTTTAATAAGCTGGACCACAACTGGGTCACTATTTGCTGATTTATTAGCAAGGTGGACAGGAATAAAATTGACTTCTTCTGCTCCATAATTTAGGAAAACTGTCTTATAGTATCCGAATGAATCCAACGGATCGGCTGAAGCAGCTGCAATAATTCCAATGCGTGCTGTATTCTGTCCTCCCTTTTTTGTGCATAAAAATATTAAATGCATAGTTTAATTGTTATAGAAAGCGTGCGGATCGGATATCCTGTCTAGTTGTTGTTTAATTTCCATTAATATTTGTTATAACTGTTGATGCTTGATAATTTAACAATGACGCCGTGATAATACAGACATTATATCATGGAATTGTTCTAAAGTTTTTAGTGGGTCCCCTTCTAAAAAAATTAAAGGGGCATTAGGCAAGATTAGATAAAGGGTTAACAGTTCTCGCTATAATAGTTAAATCATAGGTAATGAAAAGAGAATATGCTGAAAATTTCAGTCAAATTGCTTCACTCTGAACCTAGATATTAGCTATTCAATTTTAGGCTAACCCCGGTCGTCATTTTTACCGTTGTTACGACAATAAACAAAGTCTCGATTATCCATCGAGAGTTGATTATGATCTTGTCATGTTAATAAATGTCTAATTATTAGTTTATATAAACTAGGCCCACGGAAAGACCTGTGCTATAGGCAGATTTAGCTCTTGCATAATGTATGTTTAAACCATGGTATCATTATAATGTAGTAGAAGCAAAACGAAATATATATATTATTGCAAATGTCTGGTTAATATAACTTAAAAATATACGTTACCGCCATATCAATAATCTGTCTATAAATGACTGTGTTATTTTCGGATAAACCTCCTCCAACTAAAACAAAACTCTTTCCATATTGTGAAACTTGTTTTGATTGACTTTGTTGTATAAATAGGAACAAGAATATTATTAAGTTCAATTTGGACATGACTGCCGACAGAGCGTTCTTTCTCATCCAATTCAACGATCAAAAACAAAGCATTTTGTATACAAAATTCGTGTCTTATCTTTTTGTTATGTTTCAGAGATTGTTTATCTCAAGTATAATATGCCAAGTTCCACCAAGCTAAGAATCTCGGCAGTAGGACATCACGATCTGTTTTGCCAAGACGTGATCAATTTTACAGTTATATAATAATTTCTGTACCGTTTAAATTTTAATAACGAAATAAAGACAACACTATTCGAAAGGATATACAATAATCTTTTCGTAGCGAGGGGCCCCAGACTATCCGTCGGAAAATCCCGATGAACCAATACGGGACACGGGACCTCCAGGTTAGCGAACGAATACCTAACTAACGGAAATTGAAATATAGCTTTTGGTGACCGTACAGCTGTTCAAATTTGCTCCCAGATTTATTTTGTAAGATTATAAATAACACAAGAACTACGAGTGTAATATATTTTACAAAATGTATGGCTTATTTTCGAATGAAATTAAATTTACAAGTACACAGTAAAACTTCAAAATAAAATCACACATAAATACTTTTCATCATAAAAATTCAATACTTATTTTTCAAAACTCGTACATAATAGATAATAATCAGACTTATTACAGATTATCACACCATTATCAAAGTTATTATATTAGATCAATTTATTTACATTAATAATATGAACCAGCGGCTGTCAGGCAGGATACGCCCACATTTTGCAAGAGATGGATAGAGAATAAGCTAAAAGCAAACGTAATTTTTGTACAATCAGGGGAAATAATCCCGAAAGTTATGGCTTGAAATGTGCAGATATAAAAAGGGACAGGGATCTTTGGGATATAAAGATATGTTTTAAGTTTCATCAAAATCGGATAAAAATTGTGACCTCTAGAGGGTACACAACCGTCGTACACATTTCTACACAATTTGCGTACAAAGAGCGGCCATTTTGTCGGGCAGTTTCATTTCGATTTTCCCGAAATACGAATTCAACCTTCATTATGGTGGAATGGTGATGTATTTAAACGGTTTTTAAAATCGGAAAAAAATTGTGACCTCTAGAGAATCCGCACGCTAAAAATGCGATTTTTCGAACAATCAGGGGCCATAATTCAGGACGTTAAGTTCGGGCATCCGCGATTATCAAAAGGAACCAAGATCTTAATGTGTAATGGTGATATATTCACACGTTTTTTTTTAATCGGACAAAAATTGTGACCTCTAGAGGGACCACAAACTAAAAACGCGATTTTTTGTACAATTCAATCTTCATTATGGTGGAATGGTGATGTATTTAAACGGTTTTTAAAATCGGAAAAAAATTGTGAAATCTAGAGAATCCGCGCGCTAAAAATGCGATTTTTCGAACAATCAGGGGCCATAATCCAGGACGTTAAGTTCGGGCATCCGCGATTATCAAAAGGAACCAAGATCGTAATGTGTAATGGTGATATATTCACACGTTTTTTTTTCAATCGGACAAAAATTGTGACCTCTAGAGGGACCACAAACTAAACGCAATTTTTTGTACAATCAGGGGCCATAATTCAGGAAGTTATGATTCGATATGTGCGAAAATGGAAAAGGACCAAGATATTGGGGTTATAAACATGCATTTCAAGTTTCATTAAAATCAGATGAAAATTGACACACAATATTGTGACACTATTTGCGAATGAAGGGAGGGGGGCATTTTGTCCTTCAGTTTCGGTCCAAATTTTACGAAATTCAAACTCAACCATCCTTAGGGTGTAACGGTGATATATTGTAACTGTTTTTTTTAAATCAGATAAAAATTGTGACCTCTATGGGGTCCACAAGCTATAAAACCGCGATTTTTCGTACAACCAGGGGACATAATTCAGGAAGTTAAGGTCCGATATGCGCGAACATCGCAAGGGACCGAGATCTGTGGGTTATAAACATGCATTTCGTACAATCAGGGGCCATAATCCATGAAGTGACAGTCCGATACATGTCAATATCGAAAGGAACCGAGATCTTAGAGTGGTAAACCTATATTTCAAGTTTCATTGAAATCGGATAAAAATTGTGACCTGTAGAGTGTTCACAAACAATCGTGGACGTCCGGACGGACGGACAGGGGCGACGACAATATACGTCCACATGAAAATGTGGGCGTATAAAAATATTATATTTAGCACAACATATTTTCACAAGTAGTATAAAAGTTATTATATTCAGCACAATTCATTTTCATAAAAAGTTTCGAATGGATTCATGTCAGGCGTAGTGGCAATCGAATTAAATGAAAATCGAATTTTATTTACATCTATTTAAAATCTCACCTTAGTAATACCATCTTTTCACCAACATTATGATATACTTACATGTTAAGTAGCATCCAAATAGTTATACTTAGCACATTTTATTAAGAAGCATCTACGTTATTATATTCAGCACAAAAATATATCAAAAATATAATAATCAATGATTTCAGCAGTTATTATATTCAGCAGAATATATTAACATAGGTATCAATAGTAGTATCAAAGTTATTTTTTCTATTACAGTACATTTGCATAAGTAGTATAATGTTCCAGATAATGGTCAATCGCATCAAAGCAAAATTTGAGTTGTTCCTGAAAATATATAAACAAAGTCTAGAATGTAGATGCAAAGTGAACAATTGGAAATATGGATCAGCACATCAATATGTAACAAATAATTCACACTGATGTTGTGTGGCTGTGGTGCGTTGGTTCGATCCCGGTGTGGGCCAGGAACATGTCTCTTGATTTTCCTGGTGCAGGACGAGTGGAAATGTAATGAAATGGGGATTTAAATTCTAATAAAGACGGGCATACGCCATACAATGTGCTATGAGGGATATGTGCCCGAACAGCACTCAAATGTGTACACGGAACCTCGGGTTTTCGTCCCATCCGAACGACTAGACACAGCTGTCCTTGTCAAGCCCTCCATCCTCCACCGCTGACAAGCGGAAACTACACCGGAAAATCTCGATGAACTTTCTCTGCTAACTCCACTATCCCCGGACGGATGGACTGACAGCGAAATGGTGTTTAACGTCCCACGTGTCTGTGTGTGTGAGTTAGTTGTATTTTACGTCCGCTTCCACCGAGGTGATATCGCAGACATCCCACGTGTCTGTCACCAACTGGGTTATATTTGATATTTGTATTTGTGTCAGATATAAAACTTACATAAGATGTAATAATTTGTGGTCTGGAAGCTCTAAGTTGTAGTATTGTCTGTAATACACTGACATCTTGTTCTATTGTTAATCTCTCTAATATAGCAGCCAATACACAAAATATACCTCCTTTAGTAACACCATCCCTAATATACAACAAATACACATTTAAAATCAGTTTGAGAATAAACAGTCAAATCTCTCGTGAAACCTTTTGTGTATAAAACCTACCATTAAACACATTTCAAATTTGGGGGGTTGGGATGGCCTAGTGGTCTAGAGTGTCACACTTCGACCTCTATCTGGCCGGTCACCTCTGGCTTGCGGCTGTGGTTTCGATCCCTGGTGTGAGCGTATGTGGCATGGAGATAGGGGCGCCTTCTCAACCTCGTGGGTTTACTCCGGGTACTCCGGTTTCCTCCCACACGAAAGACCCCTGCGCGTGCGCTAAGATCATGAAAATAAAAAAAAAAAAAAGACAACTTGTCTGCGATATCACCTTCGGTGGAAGCGGACGTTAAACACTAACAACAACAACAACAACATTTCAAATCACTAAATTTTACCAATAATTTTTGAAACTTTTGTGCATAAAAACCTACGCTAGTATTTAACAAATAATATACAAAAAAAAACAACAAAAAAACACAACACATATTCATTAATCTTTTGTTTTTTAATATATATCCTTTTTGTATACTCACCGACAAACAACAACCAATGGATTACTATTTTCGTAACTTGACTTAACATGTTCAAGTACATTAATCAATGAAATGAAGGATTCTGGTGTCTGTTGTTGATTGTTCCAGAATTTACATTCGTATACTGTAACTGTTTGATTTACATTTGCCTGATAGTATTTAAAAGAAAATAACACCATATTAATTTAAGCAATGAAAAATTTTAAAGGATAACTAATATTGTAACAAAATAAAACCCGGAGTTAAGTTAGTTATTAATCATAACTGTATCATAGCTGTATGTTGTTTAATTTTACAGAAATAAAGCTATAGTTCAATTTTACATAATTAAATAGACGTGCCGAGGATTTGGTGGGTTTTTAAAGGTAACGGTGACCTATAACCAGATAATACTTTTGAGTAGATATCTATAGGAATACAGGAATAGCCAAGATTACCAATTTCCGTGTAAATTGAAAATATCATGGACAGGAAACGCCAAAGTATTGCCAAAAATTGTCAATTTTCGTGGTAATTGAATATATCTAGCAAAATCAGGACCAGGAAGCACAATGTTTATAGCTATTTAAAGAATTTGAGAATTTCAAGGCTTTTCAAAATGATACTGAAATTGCTAATTAAACAAGCCAACAGTGAGGCTGATGTCCCCCGCCGAAATCCCCAAATAAATAAATGACACATATTAATTAATCGCACATCTATTTTTTCCCAAAAGTATCGAGCAATCAAACTGATTATCAACTATACACTAAGTTTCATCACTCTGTATCAGATAGAATCAAAGTTATCTTGTCCCAAAGCATCGAACAAGGAAATTGCTTATCTCTGCTCAGCTTTAGCTCGATATGTTAATCATTGAACTAAGTCAAGAAGAACATCTACATCAAGTTTAAACATTCTACCTCAATTAGAAGCAGAGTTGTTATGTTCGAAAGTCTTGACCAATCAAAATGCTTATTGCTCCTTAGCCTAAGCAGACAATTCTCATCATCGAACTTAGTCAAGGTATTGATGTAATGAAACTATACACCAAGTTTCATCACTCTCACTTAATTAGAACTGCCTATCAAATTGCCTATCTCTACTTACCATAAGCTGAAAATCCTCATCTTCGCACTCTATCAAGGCATTGACCTCATAAACACCAACACCAAGTTTGAAAATTCTAGCTCAATTAGAAGAAGAGTTATTGTGTTCCAAAGTTTCGGCCAATCAAATTGCTTATCGCTCTGCTTACCCTGAGTAGAAAATGCTCAATATTGAACTTAGTCAAGGTATTGATGTAATGAAACTATACACCAAGTTTCATCACTCTCACTTAATTGGAAATAAAGTTATCGTGTCCCAAAGCATCAACCAATCCAATTGCTTATCTGTACTTACCCCAGACAGAAAATGCTCATCTTCACACTCCATCAAGGCATTGACCTAATAAACACCTACGCCAAGTTTGAACATTTTAGCTCAATTAGAAGGAGAGTTATTGTGTTCCAAAGTCTCGGCCTATCAAATTGCTTATCGCTCTGCTTACCATGAGCAGAAAATGCTCATTATCGAACTTAGTCAAGGTATTGATGTAATGAAACTATACACCAAGTGCCATCACTCTCACTTAATTAGAACTAAAGTCATCGTGTCCCAAAGCATCAACCAATCAAATTGCTTATCTTTGCTTACCCTAAGCAGAAAATGCTCATCTTCGAACTCCATCAAGGCATTGACCTAATAAACACCTACACCAAGTTTGAACATTCTAGGTCAATTAGAAGGAGAGTTATTGTGTCCCAATAAGTGTGACGGACAGACAGACAGACGGACGAACCCATTTTACTAGTCCCCTGCTTTCTTCGAAAGGCGGGGCACAATAAAGTGTCCTAAATATATAAGATGCAATAATGTAGACAAACGATGCTAGGTGTTTTGTTTTTAAATTGGGCAGTCTGTAAATTAAAACAAGGATCCTTTTTCGTTTAATTCCTGATATATCAATTCGATAGTCTGTTACTATATTCCGCGAATTAGCGGAACGGAACTTGTAATTATATATGAGTTGATGACGTGTTGGTATTGGTTTTCAACTTACATCTTCTTCCTTGTTGATTTTATAGGTCACTATTGAATAATCATCACCATTCTGTGTGTCACTAGATTTGGTTATAGAAAAATCACCGCACATCAGTTTAGTTTCCGGGAGATACTGACCTATATCCTAAATATAGAAATAAATATATTGAACTACTAATATTAACTGATATACTATGATATAACAAGTAGCAAATCAGTTGTAATATGTTTAGCCAAATATTATACCCCTTTTTCGATATTTAAATAGTTCAAAGTTATGCGGCTACAATAAGACCAAATCCCTATAAGAGTCTAAATATAACCACCGTGTAATAGTCCATCAAGGATCCAGCAATTTAAGAATCAATGTTGATTTAATACACGTTTTAAACTTCAAATGATTAATAGTTTCACATGGCAGTAATATTCACCTTCGATATTTCTTGACCATGATCTAGATCTACGATTATGTAAGATTCAGTTTGTATAACCATTCTCCAGAAATCTATAACAGTATCTGGTAATGGTGTCTGTGTTAATATATACGCTTGTTTCTTTCTGTAGCTCTATAAAATATAATCCATGAAAATATTGATTTGTAACACGTATACGAGTACAAACAGTTAATTTATAAAGATATAATCCATGAAAACACTCCAAAGTGTATGATTTTTAACTTATAAGGCATATATATAAACAATTAATGCATACATGTAGCATTTAACTACAGTCATATAAACTGTTAATATTATACTATAGAGGTATCATTTGTTAACATGGATATAATATAACTGTTAATGTATACAGGTATCATTTACAGGTATATAATCTGTTAATGTATACAGGTATCATTTACTTACAGGTATATATACAGCGTTGATATAATCTGTTGAGTTACCATTAGAAGATGATATAACAAGAAACGGTCGAGCACTTTCACCTAAATAAACACTATCAGTTAGGAACATTTTCATAGACATTATATTATTTGATTTATAAATTCTGTGAATTAAACGGTTATTTTGTAAAATGAATGTTCGTTCGAAAAATATAACTAAATGTTACTGATAGTGCCTTTGATTTTTTTACAGGTTTTGATTTCACACGGTGTGTGCTAATGTGCAAATTGAAAACGAAAATCTACTTGATAAGAGCCACACTTTTTTGGTATTTTTCATAAGGAGATTAAACATCTTTAGTATAGAGAGATCAGAACACGCGAACTAACTTGGATTTAAAATTTTCGGGGGTGGGGGGGTGGATGGCCGAATGGTTAGTGCGTGCGCGCTGTATCACAAGATTCGATTTCCCGGGTGAACGTGACAAAGAGTAGGGTCACCTGTTCAACCTCGTGGGTTTTCTTCGGGTCTTCCGGTTTCCCCCCACTGCTAAAGACCCCTACGCCCAAGCGATTGATTGAAATGAAATTGAACCATATTATGTTATTCCCGAAATGACCTAGTTTGTGTCGAGTTGACGTTAAACCCCATTTCTCTCTCTGTTAAAATTTTCTTTCAAATTTCTTAATACGTGTAACGTACTTACTGGCTAATATTGACATGTTTCTATTTTTATTTTTGTTTTCATCCAACAAAGCAGAATAACAATCATCCTTCGAGTGTACTGGACTGACCTCCATCATCATCTGTAATCCCCGGCAAAATCAAAACATATATAAAATTGGTTCGAATACAATAGGGGCCAAATGATACTGCATGGATATATATATGCTCGTAATATATGTGAATTTCTACCACATCTATAGAATTTCTGACATGAAAGTTTCTCTCAATAAGTATCAGCGTCCAGATCATATAGGTATTATTTGGGTCGAGTCGTTTGGGAAGCACATTTCTACTTGTGCTCCTAAAACAGGAAATTTCATCGTCTTTATTTATCTAGTCAAATAGCGCAAATCAGAATATTCCCACTTACTTCAAATTTTTGTTCTAGGATACATTTTCCAGATGTTTGCATTTTAAGCAGATCTTTGTAGATTGTCTTGTAATCAGCTATAGATGTTGTTATATTTCCAGCTATATACCATTCTAAGATTGCCTCGTGTAAAAATATATACTGATCCTACAATAATAACAGGCTTACTTTCAATCTAGATACAGACTTTAGTTCTGTAAATATAATCGTCATGGGATTGTGATATGGCATTTATTATAAGCAGCCGATTGTGCATGGGTGATTGTTCATAAGAAAAAACTGAAGCCAGAAAAATAATGTAGGAAAATCAGTAATTTAACAGATCACCTACCAATGTCTGAACCATATTGACTCTTTCTGTTCTCATCTGTGAAATACATTTAATAACATCTACTGAATCTTCAGCTTTACCTTCTTCAATAAGATAATCTAAAGCTAAAAATGTTCCCGTTCTTCCTATACCAGCACTGTAATATAACACGTTAATACATATATAATAACATTTCGTCAGTAAGATAACCTATATCCATGTTCCACCTATACTAGCACTGTGACATAATATAATCTATAGCTACGAGGGCTGGCCGAAAGATTCTAAGCCTATCGGTGACCTGTACAACGTCGATGGCTTGCATTAATTTTCTACATAGTCCCATTCGAGGTGTGCACACTTTGGCCAGCGATATGTTGCAGAGCCTGGATACCGACCAAGAGGAAATCTTCTTCAACCTCCCCAACAAAGTCGTTCACAGCTGGCATGACCTCATCATTACTATGAGAATGACGACCGACTAGTTTCTTTTTCATTTTTGGAAACATCCATGGTTACAAATTTGGCTAAAAAATATCAGAATCTGCTTCAAAACGGCGTATATTGTCATTGTCTTGCAGAAACTTTAGTCATTCCTTACATGTCCCTGTTGCTCCTGTAACATCTTTGATGTATAACAAGATACGATAAGTTGTTTCACAACCCTTCTTTTAGAAGATAATTAAGTTTCTTTCTATTCCATAACTGTAACATTATATTGTTTATATAGTAGTACCTCCTCTGTGAGACACTTTCTGAATCGGCACAGTAAATCAATACCACGTACACCTAGAAATCTTCATACATGTACTAGCAATAGCAATCGAATACAAATAATGGGAAACAATCGACCAATCAATGTTTGTGATACTGTACTTAGGAAACAATATAAATGTAAAATTTCTTTTATTTTACTTATATTAAGGTGATAACTATCGGCAACCCCAACCCAACCCTCATTGACAACCTGCAACACTACCACTATAGTGCTAACACTAGTACTAGTCATGTCAAGCTTGATATTCACCGACTGTTATATGAACGGAACATAACAGAACTTTATTTACAACTCAGATCAAATACATGACATATATGAGTGATAGGTTATTTACATATTTACAAGATGGAGGCTTTTAATTCCTTAGTCAAAGGACAAAAATGTGTTAAGTATTATCTTTAAGAACATACATAATTTTATAGTTATTGACTGTTTGCTTGAATTAAAAAGTTTATTATATTTAAAAGTATTAGGTCTTGTATAATAATATCTGGATATATAGTTTTTACGTTCTGTAATAAAATAAGTGTAATTCAATAAGCAGTGATATTCATCACCGACAGTATTTAATTCACATAAAGGACAAATTCTTTCTTCAAAATCTACATTTATCCATCTCCCGACCTCGATAGAGAGTTTATGGTTTTATTTATAATTATTCGGCAATGAGATAAGATACGGTTCTAATATCGTATATTAGATGCTTAACATTATAATCTCATATTGTAAATACTACCTGCAGTGTACAACCATTGGTCCAGGATGTGATGTTGGTGATTTGTTCACCTTGTTTCTGAATTCTACCAATGATGATGCATTAGCAGGAACTCCTTTATCAGGCCAGGACGTATAATGGTAATGTTTAATGGTCCGAGGATTACATCCTTCCTATTAAAACATTAGTTGAAGGATTGGATAAAAACACAAATCATTTATTTCCTTTTAAATTAAATACCAATTTGGCTGTAACAATTTGAATTTGTTTATCTTTAAAATATTTTATTATGATTTAGCCCCTGTTCGGGACAAAATTTCCATATTGAAATCTGTAAACATAGGTTTCAGCTCGTCGAAATAATCATTAAATTGCTGCCATTTATTTTCGCAGAGCCTTAAAATCCCTACACAGATCTCTGTAAATTACACGATTTCTTAGATACGTCCCATAATAATGTAATCTAGTGCGCTTAAGTTATGGCTATCCCTTTCGCAACCGAATATTCGATAACCGTGATTGTTTATCAATCTGCCAATCTGTGTACTTGATTTTAAAACATAGATTATAAAATATCACAGGAACCATTCCACGAAAAGTCAACGCTTCGAAATAAAGTCATAATTGTTTTAAGCCATTGTTCTTGAAACTCCTAAGCACATGTTCCAAAGAACCCTATATTTACTACCTTCGAGTTTGTCTTAACGTATTACTTACTTTAGTTATCTGCAATGTTCTGATAATGAAATGGGCAAAGACATCTTCTGCTAAAAGTTTCACAGAAATTTTCTTGAATGTTTTCAGTTTTCCATTCGTCGGCCAATATTTCAAACACTTTACCTACCAAAAGATATGAATTACTTTGTATTTTTAATCGGAGATATTAGTAACTGTTTACGAAAAACCTTATCTTGTCAGTCAGATACATATGTATCAATTGATTTCACTAGTGTAATTATCAGTTACAATAATTTGAGCAATGCAATGTTACTGTCTAAACTACCGTATACATACATGACCGAGTTCTTGTGGATTGGTAACCATAGCAATTGTTCCTGACTTCACATCCCATATCATCCTCATAAATTCGTTAATATTAACATCGTTTGGACCTGTTGATTAAGTTTATATAATTTGACACATCAATAAAACAGAAGCTATCGGTAGCGCCCGAACTAGATTGTATGTGGATTGGTAGACTTTAAATTCTATATTGATGTATCTTATGCTTATTTTTTAGTATATCTGCGGGAATATACCTACTAGATACCTACCTACACATGGCTGTGCATGTTATATATGGTTCATTAGCTCCATTTTAAAGAATGAGAACATAAGCCAAAAAGATTGCTCGAAAAATGTGGGGTTGCCAAAATATACATTTTGCCCACCACCTGTAAGAACTGGTCGGAGAACGCCTAGTTAGTCGACTGGGTTCCCGCGCCACTAGAAACAACAACTTTAGAAAAGGTATGGGTTAATTAATAATACCACGTTCAGAACAGTATCATATACTATTCAAAAAAAGTAGGGGATATTTGATTTTGGGGGCATAATACTAAAATATGCAAATGACTACGAAAAAAGTCACTATAGAACCTAACAGAAGAAACATTTCCAGTTACATGTGACGCCCAAACGCACCAATAGCTACCGCATGGAATGCATGTGATGCTTGGGATCATCATGGGGGTCCAACCCAAGATTTGCACGACTCTGACTTTGAATGTTACAGTCATTGTGGCATTGAATTCCAGGGTGGAAACATCAGTTTCATTGTTTTAGTGACCAGAAAACAAATTTTGATATGCGTCGGCTTACCCAAAATGAAAGGTTACGTGCCCTTGGCATGCTACAGATCGGCACAACACAGGCGGTTGTGGCGCGGACGATGAATGTTTCTCAGTCTGTCATAAGCAGGCTATGGTCCAGATACCGTGATACACAATATGTACAGGACAGACCACGCTCAGGTCGACCAAGGGCGACAACTCAAGCCCAGGATCGATTTATCCGTACCTTGGCCTTGAGAAATCGTGTCATCACAGCAAATCAGATCAGCGCTCGTCTTCAAACAGACACTGGTGTGAGAGTGAGTGGCCAGACGATTCGGAATCGACTGCATAGGGGTCACCTTCGCGCCCGACGTCCTCGCGTGATCCCTTGTTTGAGAGATCATCACATTCAGGCAAGACGTCGTTGGTGTAGGGATCGTCAACACTGGGATAATCGACGCTGGAGCAATGTGATGTTTTCAGATGAGTCAAGGTTCACTGTTGATTTTTTGGACAGACGTAGGAGGGTGTGGCGTCGTCGAAACGAGCGCTTCCAAGACGTTAACGTCATCAGACATGATCGATTTGGGGGTGGTTCTGTTATGGTGTGGGGAGGCATCACTGTTGTTGGAAGAACGGCTTTACATGTTGTTACAGGGCGTGTTACAGGCCAGTACTACCGGGACAACATCTTGGCAGTCCATGTTGTGCCGTTCGCACGACGTCATGGCCGCCGTTTCATCTTCCAGGATCACAACGCAAGATGTCACAGGGCCAGGATCGTTACAGGTTACCTCCAACAACAGAACATCACCACATTACCTTGGCCAGCACTGAGTCTCGACCTCTCCCCAATCGAGCATGTCTGGGACATGCTTGGACAGAGGTTACGTCAACGTCAACAACGTCCTGCCAATGTCCAAGAACTTGCTGCTGCGTTGCAACAGGAATGGGACAATCTGGACCAAAATGACCTTAGACGTCTCATTAGGAGTATGCCACGTCGGATCAATGCTTGTTTGGCAAACAGAGGAGGATTTACCCGTTACTGACTTGGTTGTGATGCTGTGGTAACTTTGCTGTTTGACCCCGGGTATCATTTTACCCTTATAATGGTCAGTCTGTGCCTTACTTAGTCTAACGATCATTTGGAATAAATCGATGAATGTGAACTTCATTTCATTTTGTCATTTGTTTCTTCGTCAGTTTCATTAGGTGACTTTAATAACACTTAAAAATCAAATATCCCCTACTTTTTTTGAATAGTATATATATTCTATTCAAGGAATGTCTCTTCTTACGATTGTCCCTCTGATCTTACGATTGGTTTTGGTCTTGTTCCAATAGGGGGCAATTTTCCATATCACGTGACTATCACCTGATATATCGAAAATACCATTTGATCGGTAGGGGGCCGATCTCAGTTGGGGGCGCCGAGGCTATTTGCCCGAAAATTTTCTTTGTCACCCGAATTTTCGGAATGAATCATTCAATAACTACAGCCAGTTTTCCACAAAGCTGTGATGGTTGTTTAATTTTACAATTATACAATTATATTTCTATGATATATGGTCTTATTCCATGATGTTTGTGCCCGAAAAACGGAAATACATTGTCCGAACGATGGTCGGTTCAGACCGCCTCCTACGGCTATGGATATACATGTACTAATAACAATAGGGTACTTCTAATGCTCTAAACCCCAAATACTAATTATAAGATGCTCATAGCGTTACAAAACGTATATCGAGCAGTACCATTTTGAATAGCAACGGCTTTAAATAACAGCTAGATCAGGCCTTCTGTTACTTGTACAAGACGGCATTATTTCCGACCAGTGGCAATTTGTAGAGTCCTTACGGAATTAAAACAACACAAAATCATAACAAAACGAAGACATGATAATATGAATGTGGAACGAAAGAAATCTAATATTTACCTTGTGAAGCTATATATTTATTCTTTGTGTTACCATACCCCTGTAAAACATACAAGCATATTTCAAATGGTAAATTTTCTACATGTATAATATACAATGTTAGTCAATTCAGGCGACAGGAACGTGGTCTTTCAGATCTTAAATAAACAGGCTAACCTTTTCTGTGGCAAACTGGGTGAATATGATAATCATTGTATGTTATAAATGGTTTATATATATACTTACGGTGATATAACAGGCATTGACATAATCGGAAGTAGGATCATTGTTTTCAATCTCTAATTTAACTCTGGTATGGTCAACTGAAGAAGAAAAAAATGAACATAGACTGGGTCTTGTTCCGCTTCCCTCAAGCTAGCTTTACAATCGTCTAAAGAAATCCTACCGAGCGTGTTATAAACCTTAAAGCCGAGATAACACCACTTTTACGATCAATCAATTCTGAATACGATTTTGATACTAATTTAAGGGGAGCTGACTTAGGGATTTACGGTCGAAATCCCTTCAATTTGTCCAGTGGAAAGCGTTACTAAGAGGACCCAACGAGTTGTTCTTTGAAGATATCCATCAAAGATTATGTCCGGTATTGAACGTTAAAAGAAAATTTTAAAAAACCCACCGAGAATGTTGTACACAAGCTATAAATAACAAAATATGACCGAGAGATAACTTCTTCTTAAAGGAGACGAACGAAGAGGAACTTATGTTTCAAGAGTACAATATAAGTATGTGACTTTAGGTCGCTTTTGTTAAACATACATTATGCAAGAGCTAAATCTGTCTATTGCAGGTCTTTTTTTAGGCCTGAAATGTTATCTAAATTATTAATTAGAAATTAATCAACTTATCCAGACCATAATCAACTCTAGATGGCATCGCTAGCCTGCGATCTTAAGTGGATTGTGATTCGATTTCCTGCATAACTTTCCTTCTCGATTAAACGATTAAATGGATAATCGAGACTATGCTGTTTAACGTACTGACTTTAGTAATGATGACCGAGGCTAGGCAGATATAAATAAAATAAAACCAAGTACGAACAATCCAAACCATAAGACAGAATTTGAAGTCCTAAAAAACGTTATAGGCAAAATAGTGTATTCAAGCAAAATAGTGTAATCAGCAAATGGACTGCTCCTCGTGTACAAAATACACGACAAACAGTGGTAACAGGTGTCCGGAAGAGTAAGCTTACCCTGCCTGGCGCCACACCCACCATAGCTGCATCTAAACTATTAGTCAAATGTCGGTAAAATAGCGTGATTGGCCAATGAACTATCGGTATGCAAAATGCACGCGATGAACTGTGTTAACGATGTAGTAGACATTATCAGGGAGATAGTAATAGTATACGTGTCAGTTAAATATATCTAGAATAATAGCCGAGAGAGACACGTTATATTTACCAATCAAATCAATATGACGGCCATAAAACTTTTTAAAGGTTTTAATAAGTTTAGTGCGCAAGTATCCTTGTAGTTGAAGATTAGATGACAAATGCCTCGATCTACTTAAAAAATCAGAATAAAAGGAACAACTTCTCGCGTAACGATTTAGCTGAGACACAAACACTCCATAAGCTGGTGATATTGGAATGTTACTACTAAAAATGGAAAGTTAACAATCGGAAAGTCAAAGTCATCACGTTTATCGTGCAATTTAACACTCAGTTTATGGCAATTGTCAAAATCGAGACGCAGATCCAAATAGGAAGCGTAATTGTCACTGTCAGTGGTGTTTTTAATTTCGAGCTCATCAGAATATATGAATTCTACATAATCACTAAATTTAGGATTATTAAGTGATAAAACGTCATCGATATATCGATAAGTTAAATTAAAAAGTCTGACTGATCGTTTATTAGTTTTTACGAGCGTCTGTATGTAATCGGCTTCGTACGAATAGAGAAACAGATCAGCAAGCAAAGGTGCACAGTTGGTGCCCATGGGAATGCCAACCACTTGCTGATATATTTCCCCTCCAAATTCAACAAAGTTGTTATCAATTAAAAAATCCAACATCTGAATTATCTTGATGGCCGTGAATTTGTTTTTGGAATCACTGTGATTCTTAACGAAATATGTAGAATTGTAATTTACAACTAAATATTGATATCTCGCAGTACCTGATTTAGACGAAAAGACACTTGTGAATAATGTCTTTCAACCGGGCTTTTAATTTACTATGGGGAATTTTAGTGTACAAAGTAGAAAAGTCAAACGTTTGAATAGATGAGACTGAAGCAAGGGATCTAGATTGCAAACCATCAAGTAATTTTATTCGCTTAGTTCTCGGTTCATAGTGGATCAATTTGAATGAACTTTTCAGCAAATTGCCTTTACGTTATTTAGTACTTAATTATTATAGTGAGAACTGCCAACTCGTTATTGAATCTCCCATAATGTATCTTTAAGTCCATACGTTTATTTACATTTAGATCTCAAACCCATTCGTACTAATGTTGATATTTTTTTATTTTAAAGCTCAGGGTTATTTAGAAAATAAAATAAACCAAAAATTTGGATTGTTTACTACCAAACACGATTTAACACAAGATTAGCTAGACTACATTCTCTTTGGGCACGTGCTGATGATTGATAAGAATGTTGGGGGTTGGTCCATGTCGATCGAGCATAAAGGGATCTTAATTTATTATAGTAAGGGATAATGAGATGAAATGAAATGAGATTTGAACCAAGGCGGTGCTAGTCATACTCGCACTCACACTTTAAGAAATAAAGTAAGATTTTTTTTCTAATAAATTCTCTACTGGCAAAGCATAATACACCAGGGACGTCGGAAAATGCAACATGCTGAATAAGACAGCAGTCAAGGCACACGGGTTAGGGGTGAATGTAGGTCTGGGATTGCTTCTTTAGCCTAATATTGGAATTAACTTACATGCACAGATATTCTTGTATCTGTTTTTCGGTCGATTTACTTCATTCAGACAAACATCATGAGGCGAACACAAACCTTTTGGTAGATTCTGTGATAAAAAACAGAATGAATTAACTATTGTTTATCTTTCCAATTTGGGAGTTGGGGGTAACAGGAAATAAATTGAATTGAAATGGGGTTTAACGTCCCACTTTTCTGCTCCGATTGGGCTAATGAAGACGGACATACGCTACGGCCTACTCCTATATTGAATTCCAACTGCCAAGGGATCTTTTACGTGCACATCAATCTGTACACAGGACCTCGGTTTTTCGTACCATCCGAATGACTAGACAGATGCTGCCCGTGTCAGGCCTCCGCCCTGCACCACGCCGGTAAATCCGGATGAACTTTCTCACCCAACACCAGGATTGAACCAGTGTCTTACTCACTTAGCCACCGTGGCTCTAGTGGAGGAAACGGGAGGACCTGGTGAAAACTCACGAACTTGGGCAGGTGACGTTACCTATTCTCACATACAAGTCGGGTTCCAAAACCACGACACTTGACTCAATGATATGACCATATGATGTGGAAAGCTGTATAAAGCTATAATTATTAAAGCTCTATCTGTCAGAACACTATAGTTATAACTTCTCTATTATCACCCGTTCTCTAGTTGGCAGGTGTTTTGTGCTCACTTTTGTATTAAGTAAAACATTCTGAGTTTCTGTTTACGTTCACCTACCTCATATTGTAGTTTGAAGGCTTTCGTCATTTTCTTTCTTTGAATTATTTCCCACAAATCTTTCAATTCAATGCGAGTAGATGGTAGATTTTCATATACACCAGAATTAGGTAAGTTAGAATACATTACCACTTCATTACCGCCTTCACCAACATCTTCTTTAATGATCAATTTTTTTCACATTTTCATACACACCAAGATTAGGTTATTTAGAATACATTAACACTTCGTTATGACTTTATTGTAATTGCATTGTTAATTCAATGTTACTTCATCGGTACTTCCATTTATTATATCAATTAGTGACGGGGCAAGCTTATTTTTTTATTTTGAAAGATTGCTAGGAAATCGGATTGTTTAGTTAATTTGGTTACAATTTTTGACTTACTGTGTAGACTTTATTATATATTTCAACACTGACGTAAAATTATCATCCCACAAAACAAATCAAGATATAGAACTCATATAATCAATAATTTTAATATTGACCAAAATCAAAGATTTCCAGACAGTTTAAATCTCAATCCAATCTCACTTAACCCTGTGATCACGAATCGTATTTTGTTACAATTTTCTGGTTTCGACACGCAGAAAACGTTTACTCAAATGACTCTTTGCCAGGGTCCAAATTAATATTCAATTTAAAACAGCTTGACAGTCACGTGGTTACCAGTAACACTGCATTTTACTTTCCAGATTTATAAAAAAAGAAAAGCTAATGCAAATATTAATTTTCGGGAACAACTTTACCTGTTTCAGTCATAGCACCCGCAGGGTTAATTTCGGACGACGAGTCCTTTTTAGAGATAACGGTAAAAGGGATATTTTTATCTTCTTTTTGTTTCTGTTTCCTGAAAAATGATACAGTTAGGGTTATGTAAAGTGGGTGGTATATCGATACGTTGATTTCATCCAGAAATCAATGACACAAGATATTATCATATTTTGTCTACGATCCGAGGAACAAATTAGTCTAACGCAGTGACGAAAATAGTGGCCAATGTGCTTAGGAATGTAATTCGCCACCCATTCTCAATGATCACAAGGTGATCGCTAGACATTGTAGGTGTTAGTGAGTATTAGCGGTCGTTCGTGGTGTGTTGCGAATATCAGGTCTCTGAAATTTGCAAGGAAAGCATATCACAAGCCATTCTTATTGATTGCAAGTCATTTATAGTGGTCGTAAGGCATTTTTAAGGATTTACCAGAATTCGTCTTGACGTTTCCATATGCTGGTTTCACACAGTGGCGAATATGGTGGCGAATGGGCTTTCGAATACAATTCACCACCATTTCGAATGATCACAAGGAGATCGCCAGACACGTGTAGGTGTTCGTGAGGATTCGCGGTCGTTCAAGGGATGTTCGCAACATTTTCTTAACAAAATTCGCAATCACTGATATAATGCCTCACTATTTTCAGTATTTCTCCAGGACAATCTTATCTAATATTTTTTTTACGAATTTAAGTTCTTTCATTAATATTTTAAAAAGCTATATTAATGTCTTTATTCCGGGGATTGGGTGACCGAATGGTTAACGCGTGCGCGTTGGATCATAAGCTCTGTCATTTAGTCAAGTAGTGTGGTTTCGATTCCCCGCTTGTACGTGACAAAGAGTAGGGTTGCCTGGCCAACGCTGTGGGTTTTCTCCGGGTCCTTTGGTTTCTCCCCACTGCTAAAGACCCCTACGAGCTAGCGAATTATTGAAATAAAATTGAACCATAGTCACGAAATGACCTAGTTTGTATCGAGTGAACGTTAAACCACATTTTTCTCTCTTCCCGACTTTATTCCTACCTTCTGTACGTAAAAACAGCAACAATGGCAACAATAAGAACAGCAACACTGACAACAGACACAACAGCTGGTACAGTAGCAGGATCTGCCCCATTGTGTATTGGAACAGCTATAAAAAAATCGGTCTCATTATAATGGTACTGTGTATTAAAAATTATCACCAGGACTTATTTTGAATATTTCCAAGGAAATGGCATATCACAAATTATTATAAATAAGACCGACAATAATAAGTTTTCGCATGTTAATTTGACGATAAAACAGGAACAAAGATGTCTGACTATCCCCACTAAAAGAACTACATGGTTCCTAAAAAGCATTGACGCTTATTTGGTGTCAACTTTTTTTTATGATCATTCAAGAGTTATTATAATATTTGTTTTGTTATCTCAACTGGCCTAATAACCTAAATTACTTCTGTGACACGAAGTAAACAGATTTAGTTCAAATAATGATATCCTTATGATCAGTTCTTGTTTTATCTATAATCATTTTTCTTTTCGCCACATTGATTTGCTTTTCTGTGCATTACGATTCAAAGTTAAATTCAGTCGTAAAACACAAGATAACAGATGTTCTTTTTCATATAACGCCCAGCTTTTCAACAAGTCATACAATTAAGTCTCATTAACTCGCAGATTCTATTTCCGTTTGTTGGGGGGGGGGGGGGGCGAATGGTTAGCACGTGCGCGCTGGCGCTGTATCATACGGTCTGTCATTGAGTCAACTGGCGGGTTTTCGATTCCCCGGTTGTACGTGACAAGGAGTAGGATCGCCTGTCCAACCTCGTGGGTTTTCTCCAGCCCCCCCCCCCCCCACTGCTAAAGACCCCTACGCGCAAGCGAATTATTGAAATAAAATCGAACCATGTGTTAGTCCCGAAATGACCTAGTTTGTGTCGAGTGGACGTTAACCCCCCCCCCCTCTCTCTCTCTCTCTCTCTCTCTACCTCTCTTTCCGTTCGTTTTGTATACTTCAAAGATCGTTTTACTTTTGTCTGTATGTAATGGATTAGATAATGCAATGGACTGTTACGTCGTGGTTTAAATACTGGGAGATTATTTGTTTTCAGTTTCATATGGTTACTTAATACTCAATAGCCGACGTTATAAAACAAAGCTCGCATGCAATATTCTAACGATAATCCATGCGATCAAGAGGCCATTGAAAAAAATTATTGTTTATAGATGATAATTATCTTGAAGTAAATAACTCAACACTTAATTATATGAGTTTGTAATAATTTTATAATTATTTTAGTTGTTTATAATGAATGTATACTTACCCTCAGAACAATTATCCCCTTTCTTTCCCACAATACAACCATTGCAACACGTTCCAGTAATCTGATCACATAATAATCCGGAACATAACTCGACACGCGTATTACATTGTGCTGTTGATGAAGCATTTTGTGACTTGCAGTTAACACTACATAATTCATTACACGATGTTCCCCATCTTCCATTTTTACATTCAGTACAAGAGTTATCATCATCTTGTTTACAATGAATACAATTATCATTACAGTTCTTATCACAATATTCTCCAGTTTTACCTTTAATACATCCATTAATACAGGTACCATTATATCTATCACATCCACCATTACATGTAATATTACAATTATTATCACATCTATCACCATATCTTCCCATAATACAACTGGTACATCTACCATTTCTATTACATGTTATATTACCTGGGATTGGTTGACATCCACTACCACATGTTGAATTACAATATGGACCTACTGTATTAGGTCTACAATCATTACAAGTGCCGTTTGATTTATCGCACGCTGCAGTACAATTACTGGAACATCTTGATCCACAACTTATACCAAACCAACCATTGTTACAATGAACGCAGGATCCATCTAATTTCGTACAAGTGTTGTTTAAACAACCATCATTACATTTCTGATCACAGTTTTCACTGAACCAGCCTTGATGACATGTGTTACATTGTCCTGTTGTCTTGTTACAGTTACCTATACAGTTAGTTATATCACATGATGAATTACATCTTACATCAAACCAACCAGCCGTACAGACAGGACAAGTTCCATCTGATTTAGAACAGTTATTATTTAAACAACCTTCACTACAGTTCTGTTGACAGTTTGTGCCGTACCATCCAATATTACAACTGTTACACTGTCCTGTTGTCTTGTTACAGTTGCCTACACAGTTAGTTATATCACATGATGAATTACATCTTACATCAAACCAACCAGACGTACAGACAGGACAAGTTCCATCTGATTTAGAACAGGTATGATCTACACATCCATTACTACAGTTCTGTTGACAGTCATCACCATATTTACCTTGTTGACAAGTCTCACATTTATCTCCAGTAAAACCTGATTTACATGTACAGGTACCATTATCTTTATTACAGTTATTGTTTGTACAACCATTACTACAGCTCTGTTGACATGCTGTACCATAATAACCCTGTATACATGTATTACAATTACCAGTGGTTGAATTACACAATCTATCTTTACAGTTAATATTACATCGATTCTCACAGTCTTCACCATAATTACCATCTGGACAACCACCTGTAAATGAAAATTGTTAGCTATTTGATATCAATTCCAGTTTAAACAAGTTTACACTGCAAGTCAACTTCCAAACTTCACAAACCACTCTTGTTGAAACACAGGAGAATAACATGTTTATGTACAGTCCTCATTTGAGAAACGGTATCAGGTGTTCTTGAAGAACAATTATACGCTAATAATTATTGGGTGAAAGACCATCTAGAGGGGAGTTTTGGGCTACTGCCTGTGCGCCATTTGTAAGCAATATGAACCGCTTGCAATATTGTGGAGGTTGAATCTGTAATAGGAGAATCAGTCCGAAATGGTGCAATTCCATTCAGCATTTACAAAGATAAGTGGAATTTAAATTTCAACAATCTATGCTGCACGAGCGTAACTATACGCCGCCATCTTTATCGGTAGCGGAGATTGCCCTATAGTTTATATCCGATTGAATGCAAGCCGGGAGATTACCTAGCATTGGTATTTTGATTTTGTTTTCTGAATTAAATGTTAAATAGTCAATCCGAGTACATATTTAGCGTGTGTTAAGCAATGAGAAATTTGATATTTTAGCGAAAATACAAATGGCGAATCGGGACATTAAATTATTACATTGTGGGCTCTAGATGTAATAAAAACTCTTAAAGTGCATTGTGTTGTGCCGAAGTGCTTATCAATTCCGACATTTTGTTATCACGTTTAAATAATAAAATCAGTTTAATTTACCCTTAAATACTTGTACTTCACACAGTGTAAGAGCTTGATTTGGTTTATTTTGAATAAAAACAAATCTACCAGATAAAGATGTTGATGATGTTTGGTTACATTGTGTTATGTTATACACTGGATGGTTTTGTGTTGAAGTATCTGTATAACATGGTGTAGCTAATGTAAATCCTGTTTGATTGCACGGACCTGTATTACTCAACTTCATTGTAAATCCTCGAAGTCTATCTTGTGCTGAAATATACAATACGCTAAATATATAGTTTCCCTTGGTTCGTTAAATTTATTTAGCACAATTTGTTCGTCATGTCGTGTGATAATATATATTTTTTACAAAATTCATTTCGAGAGCAATTTGTTCAGGCTAATAAGTGATAAACTACAGTAAAGTTTAATACCCGGACACAATTAACCATTTTTTAATTGAATTCCAGATACATCCAGGTAATTACATACATATTGTTGGCTATGGTGATTCTACATTAAACATGCATTATGAGAAATGACAGTTGGCGTTATAATACTTGCAAGATATACAATGAAAAAGGAATATTTTGAAAACTCCATTCTGAGATGAGTTATTGTCGACTGCAGAACAGTGTAGTCGCAATTGTCATTGCTACCGTTAATTTACGATAACACGCAAAGTCTCGGTTATTCAATTTTAAATTAAATTATTAACCGCAAGTCGTATTTAAAACCGTTGAATATCTGAAGTATCCGATGGGCGAGGGTTGATTATGGTCTTGTCAAGTCAATAAATGTCTAATTGATAACTTATATAACATTTGAATACTGCCCCTGTAATATTTTAACAATGTTAATTATTCAATACACCATCATACATTAAATTATATTCATTCTACTTACATCCATCTCTGTTATATAGTTTAATGTTGTTAATAATATAGACATGTTGTAGATCAACACACCACCATTCATTGGCACCGGTACCAGTATGAGTACAGGAAAGATGGTTAAAATCACTATCAGTTTTATTATCTACAGCATGAAATGAATCACCGCCTACTTGTGGTGAAGAACTCTGTACAGTTGTTTTGTTTATAGCAACATTCCTGAAAGCTGTAATATAACGTGAAATGAAATGAAATGGGGTTTAATGTCCTCCTGGGCTAATGAAGATGGGCATACGCCATACAGTGTGCTATGAAGGAAAGTGGCACTATGGCCTATTCTTGTATCGAAATGCAATTACCAAGGGATCTTTTACGTGCATGTCAATGTATACACGGGACCTCTGTTTTCTCCCACAGATGGAGGAGGTGGTACGTTTGTCCTCCCCGAGAACATTTTGAAAATTGGACGGCCGCAAACGCGTTTTTCAGCCCAGAAAATCTTTCTCTAGCGAAGTCTCATTGGGCAAGACAGTACAAAATATCGGGAAGATAGATATTAGAACATAACCAATAATATGCAATGTATACATCATCTTTATTATGGATTTGTTTTATAAAAAAAAACAACTCTAACAACGTAGCATTTTTTATATCATTTAAAGTGATTAATTTCTAAAAAGAATTTAGAAAAGCCCAAAATGACAACTGTTCCTAGGCGGGACTGGGTGTCAGGTCCCACGTTACCAATTCAATGCTCCACTATGATCCCTGACTGCCGTCTGTTATAAACAGTAGGTATTTTAGAACTCTGGTCTGTAACATTTGGGGGGGGGGGGGGGTGGTGGCCGAATGGTTAGCACGTTCGCGCTGTATCATAAGGCCTGTCATTGAGTCAACTGGCGTTGTTTCGAATCCCCGGTTGTACGTGACAAGGAGTAGGGTCGCCTGTCCAAGCTTGTGGGTTTTCTCCGGTTCCTCCGGTTTCCTCCCACTGCTAAAGGCCCCTACGCGCAAGCGAATTATTGAAATAAAATTAGACCATATGTTAGTCCCGAAATGACCTAGTTTATGTCGAGTGGACGTTAAACCCCGTTTTTTTTTCTTTCTCTCTCTCTCTCTCTCTGTAACATTTTTTCGGGGGGGGGGGGGGGCAAATCATTTTCGCCGCACCCCCTCCCCCCTAAAGGGTGAGCCTGTTACTCACACAGGGCATATTTTTTTTCTCCTGCATTCATCGAAATACCGTCGAACAAACAAACGTGCGAAGCATTGCCGGCACTTTGTTCTCTACCCGCTCTAATCCTATACATTTATGCAACGAAATGAGCAGAAATAATTTATGGTCTTCTGATTCAGGGGTAAATTGTGTTCAGTTAATACGAACAATCATTGTGCTTATTTGGTTCGGTCCATTTTAAATGTCATTCTAGACTTTTGGAAAATAACAATAACAAAGCTGGGTGAAGGAACATCTTAAAAACTCTATGCGCGAGAAGAATAATTTGAAAAAAGTATGAATGGAAACTGTTGTTAAAGCAAAAACGTAGGTTATATGCATTGGATTTATAGTTCGTTGGGAACCCACGATGGCTCAGTGGGTAAGACGTTTACACGCTTACCCGGAAGTCCCGTGTTCAACCCTTGCATTGACCTAGAAAGTTCATTAGGATTTTCTTCCTTGTCAGTACCACTGACTCAATTATGCAGGACTGGGGCGTGGCAGGAGACAACGTATAGTCGTTCGGATGGGACGAAAAACCGAATGCACATTAAAAATCCCTCGACAGTTGGAATTCGATATAAGAGTAGGCCGTAGCGATGTCTCGGCAAAATTTCCCTCTAGCACACTGTATGGCGTATGCCCGTCTGCATTAGCCCAACGAGTATAACGCAAAAACTCCCTAAAGCACAATGATGTCAATATATGAATGGGTAGACTATTTGCGAAAATTCACACGAATATAAAAAATAAAAGATTGGTGTCATTTTACACGTTGAGTCTTTTGTAATATACAGACCCTATTATTTGCATAAATTTGATTTCGGTTGGTCTGGTCGGGGTAATGAAAAGTTCAAATGCAAATTAAAAACACGCATATCAGAATAACCAATGCTAAACTCCATTGTGTCATTTTTGAAATGTTTGTGAATTTAAAAACAAATGCATTAAAAAATATGCTTTACTCGTCATTAGGTTTAATATTCGAATATTAAAAAATGCCGAAACATGCACCTTCCTCATTGCTAATTATAAATACAAGTAAATAAAACTGTTATACAGTACCCACGGTGTTAAAACGCGATTATTGGAGTAAACATCGTCTCGATGTATCATTTTAGCGCTCTTGCAAGCTACAATATTGTGAAAGATGAGTCTCTAATAGGAATATCAGTCCCAAAATGGTCAAATTGAATCAATTAATTGACGGATCAAAGTTCCTTTGATATTTATTGACGGTTCGTCAATTAAATTGGCAGTGTATGCTAGGGCCAGAGATGCTTTCATCTTGAAGTTTTCGATCAGAATGAAAATTGACGCTAAAACACTGATCGTGTGTGGGCAAGGTCAATTTTGTCAACGTGTATGGGCCGCTTTAGTATGTTGATTTTGTTTTCTTAATTAAATAATTAATGCTGGGTACATATTAGCGTTGATTAAGCCGTTGGTATTTTAGCCGTGGGTAATGGCTCATCGTTACTTTAAGTCAATAAAAAGTAGTCTGATTATTTTGTCTTATGTGTCTATGTTGACATGGATTTGCTCCAATAATATTGAATATCGTCTGCTTACATCTACATGAGCAGATTTCCTGCGTTCTATTTCATTCACAAATTATAAAGCGTTAAACTGCTCGGCCAAAAAGCTTCTACCTATAAAATGGGCAATTGGATCTTTGACCCAAATAGAAGGGGTCTAGACATTTTAGATTTGGTTTTGTAGATAAACAATTTAACATACGATAATTCATGTGCAACATTTATCTACAACATTGGCCCACCAACCATACGTAGCAAATATTATCTCTTTATCAAAATTGAAGCTTCGATCTTTTTATCATTGACCTATATTTCTAACAGATATTTTTTAAAAAAATAATATGACGTATTTATGTTAGAGAGGCAAATATATAAATAAAGGTATTGTTGAGAAATAAACAAATGAAATGAAATGGAGTTTAAAGTCCTACATTTTTGCTTCAACCGTTCTAATGAAGATGGGCATATGTTATGAGGAAAATTTTACCTGGACAGTGGCAATACGACTTTGGTTTCGAATTCCAACTGTCAAGGAAGGGAATTGTTATGTAAATAAAAGGAATGAAATTTAACGAATAATTGTCATAGTACACACCGTCGATGTCGATGCACTGTTTGTTCGGATGGTACGAAAATCTGGGCATCTATCATATTATACTATTTTACATAGATGCCCAGGTTTTTCGTACCATCCGAACAACCAGGTCACTTTCAATACCGACCAGTATGTAATATGTGACAATCGGACTTGAAAAATCCGGCATCCAAACATAAAACACTCTACAACTGGACTATAAGGTAGATAATTATGTTCATAGTAACTAACTGTACATTAAACTTACCATTTATGTTGTAAACTTGGTACAATAGACACCAGATGAATAGAAGCGACACAGACCCCATTATGTAAAATGGGCCTGTACCCTAAACTCAACTACTCTGACAAAATCACAATCGACCTTCTCAAATCAACAAGGAAGAAAACTTAAATTACGTTTAATCACTAAATAAACAACTGATAACACTATCAAATCTGCACGACATTGTATTAAAAAAACTCGTTCCTGGTCAATAACAATTCAATTTATATATATATTGATATGGATTGCTTACCCAGGATAAAATATGATATATACGGGTGCATACATAAAACGCGATTTATTTTCAGGACTTGTTTAAGATAGTAATATTATTTGTTCCTCCACCGAACTTTAAAGGAAATGAAATGAAATGGGGTTTAACGTCCTACTGTTTTGCTCCGATTTGGCTAATGAAGATTGGCATACGCCATACAGTGTACACGGGATAACCGCGCCACGGCCTACATTTATACATTTATATCGAATTCTAACTGCCAATGGATCTTTTATGTGCACGCCATTATGTACACGTAACCTCGTCGTTTTTTCCTCCCATCCGAACAACTATAAGTCGGGTCACAACCCTCAGATCCGTGACCATTTCTCGGGGAACAAAGTTTAACGATGGTTTCTGATTGAAGGGACCCTAGTGAAGATAGTTGCAGTTTGCTACCTCTGAAAACTACTAGCTAACTCCAGGAGAGCCGAATATCAAAATTGAGCTTGACAAACAG